GTACCCAATAAAAAATGCTAGATCTTTTTTTAATTATTATGTATGATTTATTTCTGTTATTAGTAGTTTAGTGTAAGCTTTTTGTTCATGGATGTCAAAGTTGGATGTTTCAAGAGCTCTTAATTACATCCTTTGCTTTACTAAATGAAATTTAAAAACAGTTTTGCTTGTTTCGTCACTCCTTTTCCTATTTTTTAATGATTAATGCTGTAGTTTTTGCAGTCTCTTTTTGTACTGGGAACAATAATGAAATATTCCCAATTTTGTGCATTGCTGTTTCTTAAAGTTCTGTAATAAAATTCTAGACTTCTTAGTTTTTCAAGGCGTCTGTCAACTTGTCTTGGAATAATTTACTTTCTTTAAACTGTGTTGTTATGCCTTATTTTATCAATAATAATAGGGTGGTGATCACAATTTTTTAAGGAAAAATTCTATAAAAGGCACATTTTTGAAATTTTCCTCTTTAAATACATATTTTTTTAATTAATTTAAAACTAAAGAAAATATCTTTTGAGTAAAAAATTTTCTACAATGCTTAAGCAATGTAAAATTTCATGGCTGATTTTTAACACACTTGTTACGAAAAAATAACGCATATTTTTCTTATATTTTTACCCATAGATCTTCAAAGCCATTCCCTAGTGTTGACAACTTATTTCAATAAATTGGAGAAATTTTTTTTTTTTTTAACCGAACTGAATTAGCAGTAAAGTAGTTGCGTGTAAGTGGTTGTGATCAATCTTTTTGGTAACTTTTCCCGTTGTTATATCTTATGCTGTTGGTACATTGTCTTGAATTTACTATTGTTAAAAATTAAGTAAAAAAGTTCTAATTTAATTTTTTTTTTTTTACTTAGTCAACATTATTACCTTGATTTTAGTGTTCAATTAAATAAAATAAAGCTTATAAATTATTTGATTTTTCGACAACTTTTCACATAGTTGCTATTAATTTTATATAATTTTTGTTTAGATTTAAAAAAAAAAAAATCTTACAATTTTAATTTAACGAAATAATTCTAATATGACATTTTTCTACTTTTTACAGTTTTGTCTTGATTTTTAACATTCAAGTTAAAAGTATGACTTAAAAAGTTCTGATTCTAATTTTTGATTGTTTTTCACATTATGTATTTTATTCCATCAGTCAATTTTTTCTCCCTATAATTTATAATTCTTTTTAAATTCAAGCTTAAAAGCTCTCATTTAACAAAATAAGGAAATACTTGAGCTTTTCAGTGTGTGTATCCTAAACTGGATTACACTCACAAAACAAAATAAAATTCCTTTTTTGTATTGTATATTAGGGGTGGGATGAAATGTATGATGTTAAATTTTTTTATTATTATTTTGTGTTATTTAAATAATTGTTCTATAGTTAGTAATCAATTTTGTGCTGTTTGCTTATTGCTTTGTCAGTCTCGTTGCTTTTAGTGTTTTTGAAGATTTGTAATTGCTTCTGTGAATTTATGTGCATGTAATGTGGACATTTGATAAAAAGCTTGTGCTGCATTTGTGTTTCACACTTGCTTATGGCATTTGTCGTTATCTGTTGTAAAAATTGCTCATAACACTCCATGTATTTTAATCTCTACATAGAACTGATCTGTAGATTATAGAACGACTTCAAGAAACCTTCCATTGTTGATGTCCTCAAATGGACTTGAAAATATGTTCTGGAAAATAACTAGATTAAGTTGAGATAAATAAGCCATTATAGTCTTATAACTTTTTTTTTAAACTGTTGTAATTTTGTTTTGTTGGCTCGTTCTTGCTAGTTGATTGGCTTTTCTAAATGGAACAACTGTCGTATTTTTTTTTCTTTAAATAATTCACATTTCTGAAGTATTTTAATTCCATATTGTTATTGCGTATATATTTGTTTTTATGCTTGCACTTCTATAAATGTTCAATTAGTAACCTTTATACTGAAAAAAAAAAATTTATATCTGAGAAAATGAAATTAAAATATTTTTGCTTGGTATTGTCATTGTCTTTTGTTTCTTTCTTTAAATATTTTTCTTGTTCTAAAAAGTGGACACTTGAGATTTTAAGACACAACACAATTTAATATTTAATTCCAGCTTTCATTTAACAGTAAAAAGTAACGAACTCAATGTTGCGGGTCAGTGAAAGGTATCGTAATTTCGTGACCAACGGTATTATGTGGTCAGCATTGCGACACTCTGGTACCGATTGATTTAAAGCTGGGTGGGCGGAACGGGAGAAAAATATCCATTATATATATATACATAACATTGTAAGGGAAAAAAAATCGAGGTCTAGAAACTTTTTGTGCTATAAAATTTTTTTGAAGTATTTTGTAAAAAAACATTTATTATCTTTACTGGCAATAAACATCCTCTTGACTTATTTTATTCTTTAAAAGTATGATATTTGTCACAATTCGAAGAAAAAAAAAACTGAACTATCAAAAGTTGATTTATCAGCAAAAAATTCTTGAAATTTTCAAAAAATTTTCTTAATAAATTATTTGAATAAACCTTTTTAAATACTTAAATATATATTTAAAAAAATTTAACGACAATTTTTTTTTCTAATGATACCAAAATTTGCTTATAAATAAAACAAATGTAGACATAAACACAGTCATAGTTATGGTTCAAAAAATATCTTTAGTCCTTTTTCAGTAAGTACTTAACGCAAAAAATTTTCATAAAACCCTGTGACATGACGGTGCACCAATGTAATATTTCACTCGGAATTAGCCATATTACACATGTCGAGCGTTGCTTCATGGTTCCCGCCGGCCGAAGACTCCGTGTCGTAAATGGTGACTGATGCACGTTAAATCTGTTGGATCACAAAGTCCTCTATATTCCCATAACAAATATTACCCCTGGGGGTACTGATCCAGGAGTTTCCTTGTCTTCTAGATTGGGTTCAAGGCTACAGTGTTGAACATTTGTAGTCGTAAACCCAAAATTGGGTCGGCTGTTCAACAACGGGTATAAAAAACAAAAAAACACATTTCTTATTAGAGTTAACGCAAAGATAAATTAGTAAGAGAGTTTCTGCAAATATTAAATTTATTTGTTGAATAGTTGTCTTACGTTTTTCAACTAGTATTCGGATGATTAATAAAATTGGATTAAAAAATTGTGTCTATAAATTATAATTAAAAAAATATTTTAGCGTGCGCAAAAAAATAAAATAAAGAATAGCAAAACAACTATTATTTCGATCTTTAAGCGCTTTATATGTAATCCCCCCCCCCAAAAAAAAACGTAGCTCTGTGATGTAGGCAATTAAAATTAATTGTAATTTCACAAGAGCTGTAAGGTAGCTATTTAATCAAGGCATAATATCTCGTACAATCTTCTGCATAGCAATAATTTCATAATCTAACACACCATAATCAACAACCAATTATTGACATTAAAATTTAAATAAGTTATCAATTTAGTTATAAATTTTTTTTTAAAGAATATTATTGTACACAATCGTTAAAAATTTTATTCCTTCCAAGTAAGTAATTTTGTTCTTTTAAAATAGGGTTAAATCATATTTTATTTCTAACCAATGAAGACCTAATGAAATTTTGTTTAACGTAGTATAGAATGTTTTAATATAAAGGTTCTTCAAATTGAGAATATGTACTATCATATAATTCATTACGATAAAATATATCACAGAGAAGGTGTGAACAACACCAGCGGTCAATAAATTACGGGGCAAGGACGTCCAAAAAATTCTTGACTGGCACCCTAGATTTAGCAAAATTTAATAAAGAAGCAAAAAGATATTTTTCATTCCATTACATATTACCTCCCGAAAATTGGTCTTTGCTTTCAGAAATTTTGATTTTATATGAACCCCTGATTACGAAGATGCATTGCAGTTGCGAATATACTTGTATTGGGTATTAAAGAAAATTGTCGCCAACTCGAAAATGAAGTACTATTTTACTAATAAGTTCAAACTGAAAGGTTTTGTTTATTTTATGCAAAAATAAGGGTTTAGTTAAAATGCATCAATACACACAAAGCAATATTAGATAATGCGCACGAATGCGTATATAAATAACACAAATGTGAACTAGGATACGATCACAATATAAACGGTATAACTGTTTCCCCCCCGTTCCCTTATTTAAGAGGTACCTGAAACTTTAAAGTTTCCAAGAAAACAAAGTTTAAAAAATCGATATATATATATTTCATTTTTCTTGATACTTTGTAGATCTTGACTATACATGGTATGGATACTTGTCTGATGAAAATATATTGTGTAAGAGACCAATTAAAAATATTTTAACGGAGTAAATTTAAGTGCAACTGAATTTCGAAAAAAAAAAAATCAGTTATAGAAAATTCATACTGTATCATTAGGAAACGCGAAATGCTGTGTTGCCACTTTCTTTTACTTTCATAACTGATTGGAATTGAGCGAATTTTTAAGACAGAGGGTGCGTTTCTTGTTTTTTTCAGTGGCGCCATCTATGGCCAAGTATACTCAGCCACAAAGACGTCACAGCCCGTAAAATTTAAATATCGTTCATATAATGTTTTGAACAATTTAGGTTTTGATTTTTAAAGCCAACAATGCAATATAAAATAATTATTAACAAACATAAAATTTATTATACATAATATAATTAAATAATGTACGAAATAAATCCAAAATAATTATTATCATAATAATGAAATAATAATACGAGTTAAAGATACGTGTAATGCACCACATGAGGTGCATTTTCGGTTAAATAGTAGTGACTGGGTGGCGATTGACAAAAAGAATTTTAATCAGAACTTCTTTTATATATTTTTTTCAAATTCGAATTTTGCCATTTTTTTAAACATTCTAAAATAGCACGCTATTCAAAACATTTTAATTTAGATGACAAAGCTAAGTGAAACAGTTTAGTTTGGTAATTCATAGTTTTCAGAAAATTATTCGAAGTCAACATTTAATTTCCTTTCAATATTATGTTGCTCTTTTTCATTTATTATTATTTCTTAAAATAGTATGTGGCTCGGAATGGATATTGAAGATGACGAGGACACAGAGAAGAAACCAAAAAAGCTTCCCACTTCTTTGTATCTGACATCCGGAAATTATTATTTACATCTGAGTAATTATGAGGAAGCAATCAAGAGTTTTAATAGTGTTTTGGAAGACGAAGAATATAATACAAAGGCCTTATTAGGTACCTCAGTGTCATATTTGAGGCAAGGGAAATTAAAGGAATCAAAAAAGGCAATAGATAAAATATTGAAAGTGGCTCCCAACAATAGCGATGCAATAGGGTTGAAAGGAGAAATTAAATATTTACAGGGTGATTTCGAAGCAGGTCTGATTGAACTATGGCCGGCAGCTGCAAGTCGACCCATTCGATTGGATTTGCGTCTTGGCTATCAAGTTTGCGAAAATGCAATCGACAAATTCTTATATCCCGGAGGATCACTGTCTTTGGACCACCAAGATGTGGAAGAAGTGGAAAAGCTTCTGCAAGGTGGGGAAATGAAATATGGTGTACCGTTTCGTAAAAAGAGACGTGATCTCCATTCATTTGAGGACGATTTGAATTTTTCATCAGAACTAATGAAAATTAAAGCCATTGAAGAAGTTCATCCTATTTGCAAAGACTTACTACTCTTTTTAGAGGACAGGAAGAAGTTCTGGCGCATCGCGAATCCCCATCGGGATCGGATGCCTTTAAAGCCTAAGATACCAGAGTGGGTTAAAGATGCACATTTCGAAAAACACGATCCCATAGTTGTGTACGACATAGCAAAAGTAAAGTGCTTGGATTCCCATGATGCTTTGAAACAAGGAAGTGTTGATAGTTCATTAAAATTTAGCTTAGAAGCACTTGCCATACTAGGCTGCATAAAAAAATATGCTTACGATATGGCAGAAACATCGAAGCTAAAATTAATATTACTACACCTTATCGGACTGGCTCACATGTTTAAAAATGATTATAGGTCTGCATTGGTATATTTTCAGAGAGAAATTACACTCGCCCTTTATAAAAATATGCCAGATTTTAGGTTGAAAGCTATTCTTTGTATGGGTGAAATATTTTTCAGACAAAAGAAATATGATAGAGCTATTTCATGTTATGAACATTGCCTATTTGTTTCAGACTCTGCAGAGTTTGATACAAATATGTTTTACAAAATAGCTGAGTGTCATATGAATCTGAATGATCTACAAAAGGCGTATAATTATGCGCAACGAGCCGTTGAAGCTGCAGCGAGTAAGAAAGAAACCAGACTACAATTAGATGCAACTCTACTAAAGGCGGAAATAAGCGTGAAAGACAAAAAAATGGATAGAGCAGGGTTTTTGTACTCTGAAGCTTTATCTATGGCTAGACGAAACGATGATTCTAGAATAATTGATATAGAAAGCTTAACAGTGATGTTTCATCAAGAATTTAAAGATAAAGCAGAGGAGAGGGAAAACTTATAAGAAACTTTAATTCAAATGCATATATGCAGAATCATTAACCAGGAATAAATAATAAATCAATCAGTTGTCGGATCATTTACGTAAGTTAATTAGTTATGATTCTGAAGTTTTAATAGTTCAATTTTAATAGAAACTTAGCAGAATTTTGCCATAATGCACCTGCTTAGAATAAAATTTCTACTATAAACAAGAAAAAACAATGTTTTCAAACTGTAATGCTAGGGATATAGTAAATTAATACTTTTATTACCTTAAAGAACAAAACGAAAAAATAAAATTTGCAGGAGAATATTGCTAAACTACGTTTTACACAATAGTAAATTATTTTTGAATTTTTAATAAATAAAAAATTTCTAAAATATAAAATGTTTTTCAGAAATAGTTTAGATTTTTATACTAGAAAGCTGATACACTTATGTATATATAAAATAAATTTAATAATACAACATAGAAGATCTGTTATAAAATGTAAATAATACGATGAATAATTCAGTTTTTTATAAAATTATACAATGTTTACACAGATGAATGATTGGAGTCATTTTTGTGCAGCATGCATTTATAAATTGCAACAGAAAGTAAATTTTTACAACTGCACGAGGGCATCACCTATTGTATGTCATTATAGAAAAGAGCCTTAAACCAGAAGATGTAGTTGTACAGTGCGCAAAGAAATAATCAGTCCACTCTACCTGAATCACTTTTGATTTAATAATTGGATCGATACTTTCTTTACAAAAATATGACTAGATATTCTAAAAATATAATTTTCGAAAATTAATTTTAAAAAAATCAGATTTCTCAGAAACTAGACGATCAATTTCGATCGAATTTTGCCATGTAAAATTATGTACCTTACAGTACCTTTTTTTAATTATCAAACAAAATAATAAAAAATAAATATTTATTAAAAGTCATTTTTTGCATGGAATTACCTTTGGATAAATAACTGTTATAATTGTGTGCAAACAATTTTAACTCGCCTGGAAAGTTCTCGAGATGATTGCAAAAAAATAAAAATAACATTAAGGGGTCCAAACTTTGGACCGCTCTCCTGAGCAAACAACGGTGACCATTATTTTCCAGATTGCAACTACCGGGGCAAGAAATCCGAATTAGTCGAAAAAAAGATATGTTTATTCAACGAAAGTATGTTTTTGTGTCTGTGACGCCACAATTGGAATTACATATTTATTTCCTATCTTTTAAAATATCTTTAATTACTTAAGCTTATTTTTATTAATAGAATTATATTTAAAATAAATCAAAGACTTAGTTTTTTAAAACGAACATAAAATATTTATTTTTTCTCTTCTAGATCAATGTAACGGATACCTTTTTTTTTATTTCATTACTAAGCAGACTTATGAATTCACTGTCGCCTCTAATCAAAAACAAAAATCTATTTATAACTTTTTAGTTTAAATTTCCAACGGCTAAATGTTTCGGTTGCATGGTTGTAATAATTCTCATAAATTTGTTGGAGACCCGTGATCGCCAAGGTATTCTTTTAAACCCATATTGATATGCTGGTTGGCTTTGTTTTGGCTATGATATATTATGATAAATCGCCAAATTATGGATCTCCTACCCAAACTTTCTACGGCCGTTGGGAATAATTATATTCACTTGGAATTCAAAATTTGTGGTGACTAGGAGTCCACTTTGGTACGCTCCTGCCCCAGTCATCCTAACGGTTTAAAAAAAAAGATATGCAATCGTAACAAAATGCTAACAAAAAAAAAAACTTCTTGATGTGGAAGTTATATTTCCTTGATTCCTTCAAGGGATTTACTTTTGATAATTGGTAATTATCATGATGATTTGTATTGATGGCCATTCTCTATAATCTTCAAGAAATATTGCTTAATAAATTGGATTTTCATATTAACGATTCATATTAATTTCCTGGAGACTTTCATTTTGTTTCATCCATTTACTTTTATTAATGGCCTAAATGAACAATCATGAATTCCACTATACGAATATTGGCGGATAAGGACGGAGGACCAAACCTCCCCCACAGTGTCTGGTTTTGTAACTTAACATATCGTCTGCATTAATTAGTATATTTGAAGAACGTGAAGATTCCATTATTAGATCAAAAGTCATTCAGGACGATAAGTTTTTTTTTGCATATTGTACATGCTTACTTAGACTTATACTATAGGTTGGGCAGCCCTAAAGAGCAGGGCACATTAATCAGAGGTCTCTTGTACCAAAGCCCTACATTATGATCAACAAGAAAGCTTTATAGCTGAAATGAAGTTCAGTAACGCCTTGCAGTTCCCAGGCATTAATGCAATGTTGCTCAAATCTTTAAGCAGAATAGACATCTCAATCACAAAGTATATGTCGTTAAGTTTCCTCCTCAAGATGACAGCCTCTACAAAGAGAATCAGATTCAATACCCATTATGTATAGGTGTCTCCCGAGAGTGCAACCAACAATCAACAAAGACCAACGAACTTCCTCAAACTGTTCCTGTTTAGCTTAAGAAGCTCTTTTTGACGTACACTAGGTCAGTCACGATTCAGCTCCTTACTTTGCCTCTGACCATACGAGTTGCACCACTGCTCATTGGCAATTTTGCCATAAAGCTTGAATATAGATGCCCTGAATGATGTGGAATGCATGATTAGTTAAAATACAGACCCTCACACTGACAGGTTGGGTATGCAGATGACAGTGATTTAACCCTTAGGTGATTACCAAGATTCTTAGACTCTACCCAGGGGATTTTTTTTTATGAGATAATGTCAAAGAGACTGCTTTTGTTCCAGCGACCCCCCAAAACACTAAAAAAAGCTAAAGAACACTTTTGAGCAACATAGGGATTACTGATAGTGTGAAACTCATACCGCAAGGAATGTAATGTACTTCATTATACATTAAATGTTATAGATTAGAGGAAAGTATAGGAAAAGTGTACGTAAGAGATAGAGAATTCACTATATAATATTTAGGAAGTATATGCATATTAAGTAGAGATCAATTTAAATTGTTTCAATGACACAATTTTTACAAAAATTGAAGATAATATAAGATTTGCTTGCTTAAATAAAATATTTAGAAAAAAAGTGGATAAAATGAAGTTTTTGGTGATCTTGTATATAGAGTGCTGCTACCTGCATGTCACTGATGTAGGCAGAGCATGATTTATTTTTATGTTAAGATAGTATTTATTTTCCCATTTAATCCTGCTTGCAGAGTCGTCTCACTTACACACAGATAATCACCTAAGATTCATTAGATTTTTCAAAAAGTTGTATCAAAGAATAGATACATATTTAATGCAATTTGTTAGTTAGACCAAGTTGTTTCGCATGATTGTAATTAGGGCAAAACAGGCTATTTTGAGATAAAGTAAAATAGGATATGCCATCATTTCACCCAAACCTTTTGTGTGTGAGTAGAAAATTAACACATTTTACTAGTTCATTAATAATTTTTAATCAACTTAGGTGACAGATACATTATTACAGATACTAAACTGGTTTGACAGAAACATTCAATGAAAGTGATCTGAAAAAAAGAAAGAAAAAAATATACAGATAAATATCACAGAAAAAATAGAATATAATTACAAAATACTTATAAAGCTGTTGAAGTTTACTCTAAAAGCTTTTATGATTCGATCCACACTCCTTTTTAACACACTGCGTAATCACGATGCAGGATTGAAAAGCAACAGATTTATCATAATTTGATTATAAATTTTACAACATGTTTGAAAACACATTTTAAACACTATGTTAAATAATGATCTTTATTAACTTGTTCTACTAATTTAGTGTTTCTTGACTGTTGCTATACAACAAGAGGTCACTGTATACCAGAGTTGGTAAAATTCATAATTTTTTTAAAATTATTTAAATCAGATATTATAATTATTTTTTTTAATATTTACTATATATTTTATATCAGTAATATATATAGTAAATGATATATATATTATATATCATTTACTATATATTTTATATCAGACATTTTATCAGGAGATTAGCTAAATCTCCTGATAAAATGTAGAAACAGTACTTAATATCATTTAAAAAAAATTATAGTTAAAGGAAGTAATATTGCAAACTAAAATAATTTAAAAATTATTTAATTATTATAAGTTAATCACTGAATAAATAAAATCATGGTTATTTTCATTCAATTTAAACATCCTAAAAATACAAAAAAATGTAGGTTTCTCTCAGCAGAAGTCTTTCTTTTATATTGGTAAACACTAACTACATATTTAATAAGTTTCAAAAGCTGTTGAAGTATTCAAATAAACACAAAACTAAATGGACTGGGAAACTCTTCTAAAGAAGCAAAAGGCTGTCGTGCCCCCATGATTATTACCAGAAAATTATTTTACATACAGCAAATGGAAAATTACAATTTACCAATTTAATATTACTCTTATTCACTTTCTTTAACTTTATTTATCAGTCTATATAATAATTTACTCTCTCATTATTTTTTTTTGGATTAAACCTTTATCATCAATAAAATCCGACTTTAAAGGAATCACAGACTAAAGAATATATTTATAAAGTTTCGACTTATTGATTCATTTAAAAAAAATATTGATTGGTGTAAATCAATGATTTTCTTTAAAAAAAAAAAAATCTCAGTTGATTTAAATCATGCCAACGCTGTTGTTTACTATCCAAATAAAGGGCTAACTTTGTTACTGACACACAAAAGTAAAACTCAAGGAAACATTCAAATTATAACACTTACAATCATTACAGTACTATAATGCAATATCTTTAATTGTGTTTAAACACTGAATAAAAGAATGCTTATGATTTAATTAAAGATGTTTTTACTCATTTTCCCCAGCTATTTTGTATTTTCTATATATTATTATTTTCAAATTTCTAAACCCCATCTTGTTTGTATCTTAGGTCTTTATTCCACCTTTCTTAAACACATTTTTCTCTTATCTCCAAACCATAGGGACCTATCTAGTTTCCCTCAAACTTTTAATACAACTTTATTATTCATTGATTATTTGTTGCAATTAGTTTTTAATTCTATTGCAATTCTAAGTTTCTTTGCTTTATTCTGCTTTCAACAATGAGTGCTCTATTACAATAAAGAAACAATTGTATGTAACTTACTATTTAAGCTTTTTCATATCATTTTAACTTTATTTTATACAGCGTACATGTACTATTTAACTTTATGTCAGTGTGCCTCTATGTTTCATAATTTCAATCTTAGTCGTAACATAATTTTAGCAGAAAGTTAACTAATGAAGCATAATTAATGATCTAATGATTATGATTCTATTATATTCTCTTAGTTTTGTGGGATTTCTAATCTGTTGTGTGGGTTATCTAATACCAATGCAATTCTTGATTAAAAACTTGCAATTATCTTTTTTTTCTTCAAAAAAGTTCCTTAATTTTAAAGTTCTTTACAATTTTTGAATTCTCCCAATAACTTCACATTTTTCAAAAAAATTATTTCATAGTTTTTTTTTTTATTGTTTCAGTATGTGAGGTAACTTGATTGTTAAAACTATGTACCTTTCTTACACTACATATAATTTTAGGGGTTGAATAAAATAAACATCAGGTGATATTAGAATAATAAATGAGAAATATCAACAATGATATATGTATTAACGAAAAAGGCAGACCCTAAACCGATCTGCTTGTTTGAGAAAGAACTGTACAATAAATCAGGATGGGGCACAGTATTAAAAACCATAATTTTTATCACTGTCCATAGTTATCATTTGATTATTTCTATCTTATCAGGAAATGTCAACATTTTAAGGGTTAAATAATTTTGTAATTCCATAAAAAAAACTACTATAGCCTTTAATAGTATGCAACACAATAAACTCAATACATTTTGTATATTTTTTCAATGAATAAAACATGACACAAACTTCTTAATTTATATTCTCGGTAGTTGTCTGGCAAGGTAGAAAAAAAAAAGCCAATACTTATGACATCAATAATAAATTAATCTGTATGGTATACTAAATGTATTCTTTCTCAAAGCACTTTCTCTTTCCCCTGATTACTTTTACTAGCTTTCTTGATATTTCCCCCCCAAAAGTAACAAGATATTTATCATTTTGAACTGTCATTCTTAAAAATTTTACTTACATTCATTCTTATAGTATGAACTGTTAATCCCATTCAGAGGTTTATTTTGAGTTAAAAGTATTATTCATGGCTTTAGTTTTACATACTCATTGCAATTATAAGAATAATAGACAATATTTAAAACCTCTACTAAACTCGAAACTTATTATTTCTTTTACATCTCTACTACTTGAATTTTACATCAAAAATTATATCAAATGTTTACCAAATGTGGACATACATTACAATATATTTAAAATTTATTTTATAATGGAATTTTGTAAAACTGCTCTAAGTTAAGAGTTAAAGTTTTTAAATTTTTATTAACTAATAAGAAACATTACAGCACATTTTTTTACATAATTGATAAGAAAATAGCAGCAACTATATATATTAACCAAAAGGGTGGACTCTAAACAGCTTTGTCTGCTTTTTGTTGGACTAGGAATTGTACAATAACACAGTATGGGTCACAGTATTAAAAATCGAAATTTTATCATTGTCCGTAGTTTCTCTTTGCATTATTTCTATTTTAACAGGAAATGTTAAAAGTTTAATAAATTATCTTAAAATATTTATTAAATTAATTTTATTACATTCATATTATAAAATATCTCAAGATTTTTTAAAAATGCTATCACAACAATTATTAAAAAATATTTAAACAAAAGTAAAAAAAAAAAAAAAAAAAGTCAGGTCATAGCCTATAGCAGAACATAACCTAGAACTTGTTCATTTGATACATGCAACTTTAAACAGATTTAGTAATAGCAATAGATACAAGTACTTACATTGACGTTCTTTCTTATGTTTTTCGGCCCATATAGCTTTATTTTCTGGTGTATTAACTGAAAATAAAATAAAACATTTACTTAAAAAAGCAAAGAATTATAATTAACTTTCAACGATTGTTAAATGTTATGAACTTGAATAAAAAAAGAAGAAAAAAAAAATTCAGACTAGAATAAGGTTTTTCCACCTATTAGTGGGAAATGTAACTAAATACGCAATTTAATGAAATAAAATTGCTGGTTTGGCCAATTTTTTCAGCCCACCTCCCCAAAAATTGGCAAATATTCAGTATTCAGCCAAATCACTATTAGCTACATCCCTATTTGATAGTAAAATAAAAGAAAATAAAAAACTTATTCAATAATGAAGATGTGTAAGGTTAAAATATCAATTTTTTTTTCTTCATTATATGATGTAGTCAACTTATACTATGGCACTAAAAGAATCATTAAGGAATCTAGGTTAAATAAAAATATTAAAGGAAATATAGTAAAAGCAAAGGTAATATGGTTATAAAGGAAATATCCTTACTAGATAATTAATAAATAAACAAGAAAAACTTATTTAGCCAAAGGATGAAAGGTCAAAAAATAAGGCATATTCGACTGAAAGAAATATAAGTTTAAAAAGAGCTGTATACATTTAAATTCCTCGAAACACAACCTGGTAATACTGAAGATTAGAAAAAAAAAACTAAATATTTAAAACAAATAAAGTGTTTCAGAAAAGTTTCTAGTATAGTTTTAATATTCGAAGATTATTTTTTTGATGAAACTACCTGACTTGTGGATGAACAAGAAAAAAGGGAATGTGACAGCCATAGCCCCAACAACGAATCTTGGAAGCCAGAAGTTATTCCAGAACCATTTGTATGGAAATTGTTGAATCTGGGCAGCAAATGTAACAGGCCATTTCATTTGCTTTCTTTCCATTATGTTGAACTAAAAGGAAAAAAAAAATTATAAAGATCAAGTCAAAATTGCACTAGCTTAACAGGTAGCAGAAATTGAAATAGTATGCAGATGTTAACTGTTTATGCAAATTGGCATAGCTGGTAACTGAAATTTTGGTACAGTTAAAAGTAACGAATTTTAGAACATTCAAAACATTTTAAAAAACCCAGTGGCAGAATTGCGGTGACACAACAACATTGCCGCAGAATGTTACACAGTTTTTGCAGAAATTTTTTTCATTTGGGATTGGAAAAATTTTGTTTTTCCTCTCTGCGTAATTTTTCAAAAAAATGTTTTTTCTTCTTCTGCAGAACTTTTTTTTTCAAATATGCCTTTCTTGCCCATCAGAGAGGAAAGAAATAATCATGATTTTTCAATTCTCATTTGAGATTTTAAAAAAATCGATAATAACTGTCTTTAGCTAGAATTTCAAATTATAATATAAAATTAAACAAAAATTCAGAAATCACGAAAGTAGAAGTGATGTTTCTTTCATTTTGGAACACCATGTTTTTCATATACTTATTTTAGTATCTCTTTTTTAAAGAGTCCTATTAGAGTGATTTTGTCACTGATCTTTATTTTGGGAGTCACTGTACCGATTTTAAAATTTTTGCACGAATTTTAATTTGTGTGATGATTTATAAAATTCGAAATAGAAAATAATCAATGTATTTTTCCAGGAACATAATGTGAAAATATCGCCTATAATATTAGAATTAAAAAAAACTTACTTTTACAATTAATATTTTTGTTATAAATTTTTATTCTATACTTTCTTCTGTAAACGCAATGGTTCTGTTACTTTAAATTAGTAATTGTTATAATTAAAAGTATCGTAAAGCAAAATATTAGTGTTGAGGAAATTTGTCGCAGAAAGCCTGAAAAATTTTTGCCACAGGATTAATAAATATAATTAACACAATACACATATTGTTTAGCGACCCTAGAGAGCTTTTTATGTTTGTAGCCAATCCTGCAACACAGAGCTGAAGTTGGTTAGCTTCACGCAAACATTGCCCACAAAATTTTATTTCTCATGACATTTAGCTTTAGACTTCCATTGTCCTTTTAGTTATAGCTTGTGCCGTCAATTATCAGGCTACTCTCCACTGTAAACACTCCAAACATCAATTTTTATCTTACTTGTAAATATATTTTTTATTTATTCAATAATAAAGTACATAGGCTAAATCTTAAAAAATGAGATACAATAATAGTTATATTTAAATTTTTAATATGGAATCAATTGGTACTTTTTATGTTTTCTTGTTATAATCATCATATTTACATTTCCTTAGCAGAAAAAATATTACAGCATTTCAATTTTCTTCTTTTTTTAAAACACATCTATATAATGCTCATATTTAAAAATGAAATAAAAATTTAAAAATTGTACTAAAATTATGAATAAAAGAACAATTTATTTGAGCAAAAATTGGTTGTCCCGAGCATAACACAAAAACATGATAATTTTTAATTTTCCCATAAATTTTTAGGGCAAAAAAGAAACTGCTTCAATTTTACTTTCTTTCTCTTTTAATATTAGATAAAATATTAGCACTTGTTTTCATGTTCTGTGCATAGCTTAGATTTCTCTAAAAATCGGAAAATCAAAAACTCAACGAGCATTTATAACTGTAGGTGGCTGAATAGCTTTAACAACTTCCTCATGTTGTAAAACACTTTATCTTCCCGTTAAGACCTTTTCCAATATTTTCCAGGCTTTACCATGGCAAAAATTTTGATATCATTTCCAAGCACTTGCGTAACTATGAACTATTATCATATTTCACAACAACCCAATATCCTCCAATATTTTTTGTGGTGTTAATTGCCCTGGTATTAAGAACCCCTTCTAGTGGCGCTACAGCAATTTTAAACCAGAAGAAGGTGAATATGTATTCCATACATTTTAGAAATTCCTGGTATAAGTCTTGCGTTGGTCCACATATTATAATCTCTGTTAAAATTTTTATCTAAAAATAACATCACTGTAGTAGATGACATAGCTTTTTTACAACATTTACAAAATCATCTGCAGACTGCACAATTGGAGCTGTAGATTTTTTTTGACCTAACAGCGTTTCATACCAAGCATTTTGCCTTACCATTAATTCCATCCACCATACCCTTGCCATGGGCAGCTGCACAATATTTCCAGTAGAAAGTCTTTTTAAATTTCTATGGTATTGTAGCAGCAAGGTCATGAACCTATTTTTAAACTCTGGTCAAGGTTCATCTGTCCAAATTACCTCTTCTAGAAATTTATTTTCTTCATCGATTGGCTTGATTTCTTTATAAAATTTTTTCAATGAAAGCCATGACAGAATTCTTTTTCTTTCTCTCAAATGTCGGATCATATTAAGTAAGTACTGCATTTTTCGTGTACGAATACTGCAGCTGTAAATAAGGTTATACTTTTTAGAGTCTGAAGTACACCCTGAACTTCATCCTGACATGAATAACTATAGTTCATAGCAAAATCCAGTCAATTAAGTGAATATTATTGACTTTGAATGAAAGAATAATACAAAAAAGATGAGCTTTTATTGTGGTCTTTTTTATCACAACATGGATGTTAGATTCATAAATAATTCACCCAAAGGAATAACTGAAGTGTTTTTAAGAATGTTTAGAGGACACTTGGCTTAATTATCGAGGACCCTAGTAGCACATAGGTACAAGAATCGTTTATAAAAGAAAGACAATATTATGAAGAAAAAAAAATTTCTTAATGAATTGACGTAGTGAAACTCTGGCTTAAAAATTTGCGACAGATTTTTATGACAGTCTCACTTACTAAGATAGTTTCTACATTTCACACTATATTACTTTTATATTAAAAAAAAAATGCAAAATAATGTGTGTAACATCAATTTTGCAAAGCTACTGTAAATTGTTTTATAGATTAATATAAAATGATACAATAATTAAGTTTTTAAGGACACTCAAGGTTACCTATAGGATTCAGTAAGAGTTATTAGGAAATAACTGCTAGCTCATACATTTCAGTTATAAATGGGAGTTGAAAAAAGCAAAGTTACTTAAATTTGATTTTAAACTATTACTTACTTTTACTTTCTTACTGCAGAAACAAGCACAATTACTTTATCGAGATATTTTCAGTCGTGTATTTCTATTGGAAAAACACTTCCGGCTGCTTATTTTATTACTGGATACTGAATGAACGTTAATCTTACCGAACGAACGAGATTCGCCATTCAAATTTAAGTGTTATTGAAAGGGCTATTCTTACTAAAAGCAAAAAAATCGCATATGCGAATTTAGAGACAGGAACTAAACCTTGATTGGTTAGTTTTTCGTGGTTAATTTTATTTCGCCAATCAGTTACTCCGAATTCCCGAATATGTATTTGAATTCTGAATTAGGTAAAAATAGGCAACCGGAAACACATATTGTAACCAGAACAAACAACAAACATTATGTTGCCGATTTGAATGTTATTTGTGTTTTTGTGTGGAAATTTTTCAAATTCTAAGCGATTAAGGTTCATAATAGTTTGAAAAACTCTTTCAAAGCAGTGCCTAAATGCATTATAATTTATATATATATTTATAAATTATATTACCTTGACAATTCTGCTCTAAAATGAAGTAAATAAATTCAAGTGTCTTATGAATGCTGAATGAATAAAGTTATTTAAAACTACCATATTTTGTTTTAATAGATAATAATAATAATTTTTTTTAAACAATTAATTTTACAGTTGCAAACCTATAGAAATAATTTTAGCAATTAAAGTATCAAAAATTAAAATAATTTAAAAATAAATGCAAATAAAAACTGTGATTAATATATGCTGTTATGTAAAAATAAGCTCTTTTTAACTCGTAAAAGTTTATAAATTAGCTTTAAAATTTTTTAAAACTTAATTTGGTATCAACAATTCAGCAGTTATCAAAAAATAGTTATTGTAAGTAAATAAATCATAGCTACCATTATGCATGATGAGTTGATTAATTCAATTATTAAAATTTGTTCATCTAAAAAAGACTCAGGAATCTAACTTTGAAACTTGTAGTTCAAATAAACTAGCGTGTAGATGGACGAATCTGCACCAAATTAATTGCCAACGGATCACAAATGAAAACAAATTTAAAGGAGATGATCGGTAGCCACTTTATATTTTTAAAACTAATTTCCAAGTTGACTTTAACGCCTTGGCAATCTTATTTAGCCTAACAGAATATACCTAAATCTATTTAAAAAAAAACTGTTTTTTAGTTTTTCTTTTCCAGCTTTTTTGTTGTTGTATTTTTCCCTTTGTTATAACCCGTTAATAATTTAATTGAGGAATAGAAATCTACTTTAATATTCCTGTAAGTTAAAACAAGAAGATTAATCTATTTCTGGAAATAATAATACAAGTGCTACATAAGTTTTGATGTTCCACCTGTACATACTCATTAAATATTCATACTTTAATCAGATTAAATTAAGTACCTAATGTTAAGATACATTTGAAATGTTTGTTTAGAATATTTTTCATTTAACTGTGATCTCAATGAGTAACAAGAAGCATGCAACACTCATGTATGAACTTGTATTTTTCCGTAAGGAAAGAAATTGATTTTTTAAACAAGATTGGATGGTTTTGTTACTATTTTTACAGCATCTGATGAATTTTAAGAATAAATTTTTATTCAAATTATATCTTCTGGAAAAGTTTAACAATCGTTAAAGGGGCATTATATATTTGTAAAATTGTGGCTTTGTCTCAGTAGAACTTTTGAATAATGCGATAGATTCTCTTGAGGTCTACCTCTAAAATAGAATAGCAGCCACTGAACTATGTCATTTATAACTTGACGCATTTTTTACCTTATAAAAATCTTTTTAATAAATTTTTATTTGACTTCGATTAAATAAAAAATGTACTTAATTGCTCTTATTTAAATTGTGTGGTTGAATATTATAGGCCGAGGGAAACTATGCCTTGTCAACTAATATTTAGTCTTGAGAACTAAAAAAAAAATATATAGCAACTGTGGAGAGATTTTGAACTTTTGAACAGCATTCCACATGCAAGTTCGAATATGCTTTATAGGTTGATTGTCGTAATTTGTTGTGCAGAATCTATATTTATGAAAAGTGTGGATTGCTTCCTGAAAAGGCAAAATCTTTTCAGAATAATAAATTGGAGAACTAAATTACGTATAATTCATGGTGTTACTGTTGTAGGTTTTATTTACTATTATGCCTTATAAAACCAATTTTCAAGATTCCATGTTTTTCTTATGTTCTGGCAGTCATCCCATGTTTTGGTTGAGTTTTGTTTAACTTTAATTTTAAAACCAGGCAATGCGTCTATTTGTAAAGCGATCTATTGAAGAATTGTCAAAAATATAACATTTAGTTTTCTTTAATATCTATTGATTGACCTCATTATTAAATACCAAACTATTAGATTAAGCCCCCACTAATAGTTTCATATGAATATCGACCAGCGATCAAAATCGAATAAGCCCCATTCATGTCAGTTAGATAATATAGATATAGTTCGTTCATCAGGAGTTGGCACTTGGCTTCACCTCGGACGAAGAGTTCATTTAAGGACGGGGACTATAGGGAAAAACGTCCCCGCGCTTGAAATTGTGACACCCCTTACTGCTCGCCAAACGTAAGCAGTAAATTCTTTTTTAGTCACTTACTTCGCTTTATCATCTGCTATTATATCTTTTGTTACTCTAGCTAATTAAATATATTACAGCAAAATGTCTCAAAAAGGACAGATTTTTCACTCAAAAGAAAGAAATGTCATTAAATTTATGAAATATTTAATGTTAAAAAATGCACATAAAAATTGCAAAATAAATATTTTTGACATACGATCGCCAAACAACAACCTGTTTCAGGATTGTTCACAGCCTTCTCCGAAAAATAGCGAAATACTATCATCGGATACCACGTGATGAAGGCGGAGTCAAGTGCCAACTCCTGGTAAACGAACAATATAAGCATTCAGCGACGAAAATTTTTAAATTTTGTAGATAGTTTTTTAATACTAACAAGAGTGTTCATTCAATTTAAAAATCAAACATCGCAATTTGAATCCTCTGATTCTAGAAGCAGATCGCAATGCATTTGAGTGATTTTAAAATCAAACAATCACATATGGAGATTTATATTCACGCGATTTAAAAATCCAATATCACAGAGCACGTTAAATTGATATTATAGACATTATTTATGTTTACATTCATATTTCAAACTAATACAGTTTTCTTGCTTTTTGATGAAATTATGTAGAGTTCAGCAAAATATACTGCATCCAATGTGAAACCTAATTTTGATAGCTATGGTCATTAATGCTTTAATTTAATAGGTAATACTAAAAAAAATTCAGCATTTATTTTTTTAAAAATATTATCATGATGAATTTATTTTTAGAGCATTTTTATTTCTGAGACAATATTCACATAAGTTTTTTAGTGAAATATATACTAATTTTAAAACTATGCCCACTCTTGGCTGAAGTGGGTACATCAAAAGATATTCCTTTGAATGCATTATTGTAAGAAAATAAACTAACAAAATAGATAAGTTATGCTTTATATTTAATCTATGTGAATCCAATGTATATAAAATAAATCAAAATAATTCAATGGTTTTGTTTTAGAGCCTTATTTAAAAAAAGCTCTATTTTTTACCCACTTTACCCCACCGGACCAGGGTATGAAATTTTGAAATTGTGAGCATTTAAAATCCCTTCACTGTTTTAGAAACATACCCACTCAGTGATCGTTATATTTCATTGTATAAAATAGATGAGGCAATGCATATTTTTATTGTTATAATGTTTTTTTTAGGATCAACATTGATGGTCTTTTAGTTTATTTTCCTTATGACTTTATTTATCCCGAACAGTATTCTTACATGCTTGAGTTAAAAAGAAGTTTAGATGCTAAGGTAAGTTTCATACTTCATTTCACCTTTTTACATCTTAACTGAGCTTGAGATTTCTCTGTGAATCAGTTTTATTAAGGGTGTAGTTTTAATTGAGAAATCTTTATCAACAGTTTTTCTAACATCTCACTCTAATTTATAAATATTTTTTCTAGGGACATGGTTTGTTAGAAATGCCTTCAGGTACAGGAAAGACACTCTCATTGCTTTCTCTCATAGTTGCTTATCATAAGGTAATATAGATATATATGCATATAACATTAGATACTATCTTAAAAATTAAAAATGTTACTACTTGTTACATTTTTTATTTAATTGTTACATTTTAGAAAAATGCTATACAGTAGGAGATGTTTGTAGTGCAAAACCTTGAATGCTGTGGAAATGTGTTTTATGGAATTTATTGTTATATAGATCATTTATCTTCAAACTTACCTACTAAATAAGGCAATATTTCTCTGGAACAGGTCAATCTTGAAATGCTTTAAAATTTTTTTTAGAGAAATACAGAATATGCACTTAAGTGTTTATAGTTTACGGAAAAAAAAGAAATGTTCTACGACATCAGAACTAGCGATAAGCAAATTAATAAATTTTTATTTGCTTAGTTTTTTAAATTTTAATCTCTTAGCAAATAATTAAACAAAAAATGTAAAAAGTTTATAGTTCTTGCTTAAATATAGAAATATCTTAACTGCTGATTTCATTGTTTGCACTCACAAAGCTAGTCTGATTTATGAAGAATTGTTGTTTGTAGAATTAAGTTATTTACTTCTACTGTAAAATGTTTATGATTTCACTTGCTAGCAGTATAAATAGATTTTTTTTTAGAAAATTTTTTCTGTTCTTCTTATTTTAATATTTTAAAGTTAATTTAAATTTTTATTTCTTTTAATAATTTTAATCTTTTAAATGTTTTTAATAACTTTTTCTTTGTAACACCTTTTATTTCCTACTTCAAACAACGGAAATTTCATGGTATCTGATAACGAATTACAGCACAATCTTAAATGTTTGGTGAGAAGACAATTTTTGAAAATGAGTCATAAATTTTTCATAGTTATGAATAAAATAAATGAATTTTTGAAATTCTTTTAACAAAGATAACTGTTGTACAAAAAATATCAATAACTAATTAATAACTATAACTTATTATTCTGAATAACAGTTTATGTGTTATAAATGCTGCATCAGTTTTGCTCAAGTATTTCTATTGTGCTTCACAGAAAAATACTTGTTATAAAATCACCATTCTTATGATTTTTTTAGTTACACAATTCTTGTAACTATTGCATTAAGTGTTTCTATTCCATCATTCCATTAATTTCTTTATTCCAATCGCATATTTTGCATTGAAAATATTTTGATACATATTCTAGGTAGAAAATATTTTGGACTTGTAAATTTGCTCATTAAGCACTTATGAATATAATTAGAAAAAGTTCAGTTTCAGTACAGATAGTTGTAAAAACTAAGAAAAACAAAATAAATATTAATATACAAACATATTTTTCATTTTATAACTATGTTATCTTTCATTATGTACTATTTAACAGGAATTATGCTTTATGCTTACTTTTCACTTTTGAATTTTTGATGAGTAAATTATCCTGAATACTAAAGTGTTACATTACATACTTTGTTTGTGGTAGAAAATAAATCTTTTGAGATCTCTAAATGTGCTTTTCTGTCAAATTAAAAAATTTATATACAGTAGGGAACCGATTGTCTGGAATGATCGGGACCATCGCTATTCCGGATAACTGATTTTTCCGGTTTTCGGAATTGCTACAAAAAGCCGTTTTTTTATTGTTAAACCCAACTAAAAAAAATTTTTTTTTGGAAATAATCTTAAAAAGAAGAAAAAACGAGGAAGTAATACACTAATGATTATTTCCAAAATGATGGTAAGGTGAACATCTTAAAGTCTTATAAGGAAATTTTTTTTTTTTTTTTAAAAATGGCGGGAAAATTTATCGAATTTCGTTCCGGTTTTCTGATTTCCGGATAACGGGTTCTGTACTGTATATTAATTTTCTTTCTTATTTTCATGTAGGCACACCCAGCTGAAGTATCAAAACTTGTATATTGTTCTAGAACTATTCCGGAAATTGAAAAGGTAAATAGTATTAAGTAATAATCAGTACTCTAAATAAGCTTATTCAATATGTGCTTAGATGTATTATATAGAGTAATAATTTATATTTAAATTTAATTTCCGAATGTAAAACCTACTTATGTATTAAATTTTTATTTATATATATATCTTTTTTAAGGTTTTGCAAGAATTACGACGTCTTGTAGCATATATTGAGAAAGAAACTGGACAAGAAAATAAAATTTTAGGTTTATGCTTGAGCTCCAGAAAAAACTTATGTTGTCATCCACAGGTAATAGTTTTAATTATGCTATACTAACTCTTAGAGGCTAGCTGATTTTTTCTACACATATAAATTAAAGGTTTAAGTTCTTATATTTTCAGTAAATCTGATATTCCTCATGATAAAGTTTTTTTTTTTAATGTTTATTTTTAGTAAGAATTTTATGTTTGTTTAAATGTTCAAATTTTATGTTTGTTCTTCTCCCTAAGTTGTTTATTTGTTTATTTAGAATGAATGCTGTCCTAAAAATCGAACATTATGAATGACTTGAATAGTAATTTTGTTGTAGAATGCAAAAAGCTACAAGATAATTATGATAATTATTTTAAAAACATGATTTTGCTATAATGAAAAAAGAATTTCATTCTGTGTGAATCACGGAAAAAAAGTGAGAAATGTATAAAGTGTCCAAAATATGTAGTTTTCATCTGAGTGTTTGCTGTCAGTTTAATTGCTGGAATTTATCAAAATGTAATGTAGAGTTTAAGGGCTTGAGTAAGGGTTTACTTTATTTGTAAGGACTTTTATAAACAATAATAATGTTATTGAAAGACTTGGGACAATGTAATAATGTGCAGCATTTTAAATTTGTCCTGGATGGGGCTTTTGATGAAAAATGCCACAATATCTTAAAATAAACTTAATCACAGTTGAGCTAATTAGGGAATAAGATGTCAACAAAGTGATGTCTTGTGGAAATTTGGGAAACTTTCGAAATACCTTTCTGGAAATTATACTAAGAAACAGTTTGATGTGAAAATGCCATCTTTCAATTTTAAAAAAAAAAGAAAAAACATAGTTTATCATTATATGGCTTAGTGACTGTCATTTGTGTTTTTATTTTTAAAGCTTTGCAATTTCAAGTAAAAAGTTCTTACACAAAAATGTAAAACATTATGATACTTTAGATTCATTTTTAAGAAAATGTTTAATTATTTGTTATTATGGTTCTGTTATTATTATATTTAGTTCTCTAATTTTATAAATGCATGAAAAATTAGTTTCATGTAGAAAAAACATTTACATAAATATGTTATTAAAACCATTTAAAATAGTTGCTTAGCTTTTTCTTGTTCATAAAATGTTAAAAATGCATTGAGTTTTTTAAAATTTTTTTGAAAATAAAATGTAGTAATTTACCTTATTTTAATTAAATTGCTGTGATTGCTAATCTTTATAGCGTTTAATTATAATAGGTAAGCAAGGAGAAAGATGGTAGAATTGTTGATGGTAAATGCTTTGCTCTTACTGCATCTCACAAGAGATCTATGGCAGCTGTTGATCCAAATGTTGATATCTGTGCTTATTTTGAAGTAAGGATTTTTTTTTATGTGTGCTAAATTATTTTTAATAATTATAAACTAATTTTAAAACTTTATCATAGGCATTTGAAAAACACGGAAAAGAGTTCCCACTACCTGTTGGTGTCTATGATTTGGTAATATGAAATTATTTAGAAAGCTTACTATTTTGGAATAATATTTTCTACATTCATACTTTTTATTATAGATTCTGACTATCATAATCTAAAAATTACCAAAATATTTTTATTTATTTTTTTTTGTCAATAATTTAGTGAAAATTCATCCTTCAAGAAAGATGTGAGGCTTTGTTTTGACAGAAATGTATGAAATTTGTGATGAAAAAAAAATCAGTATTTTATTTGAACATAATGGGTTTCAATGGACAGGAATATTTCAATAAACTCTAAAAATTGTTTTTAGCATTTTATAGAAAAAAATTTATTAAATTTAATTTAATTTTTAAAAAAAAATATTTTCAAGTAATTTTTTATAAACAAAGAATAGGGATATCAGGAAGAACAAGCACAAATCAGGTATTTTTATCCATCTGGAAAAATCAGGGAATTGCCAGGGAATTTAATCAAAATACCAAAAAGAGCGTGGGGAAATGAATTTAGTTTAGGTACCTGAAAGTTTAATCTAATATCTTTCATACAATTTGTCTTGTAATAATAATTATTATTTTTAAAAAACGTTATTTTTAGCTCTAATTACAAGCATACATATTTTTTTATAAATTTAAATTCACAAATTTTAAGTTGTGACTTAACTGAAAAATTAATAAAATTTACGCTATTAGAAAAATCAGGGCAATTTGATAAATTAGTCTGGAAAAAATCAGAGGAAATCCAGTTTTTTCTTCTTCTTTTGAGTGCTTTTGACCATTTAAATAACGTGTCTTAAGCATGTCATTGAATTTTAAGTTGTGTTTCTGTAAAAATACACAATACAGTATTGCAAATTTAAGTACTTGTCTAAATTCTTAGTTTCTGTACTTTTATTTTTCAGGATGATTTAAAAGAGTATGGGAGAAAACACGGCTGGTGTCCATATTTCTTAGCTCGTCATGCAGTAAGTACATTTTCTATGTGCATTAATGAAATTTAATCTGTTTACTTAATTTTGACGCCAACTTTTTGATTAGAAAATTCAATGTTCTTTTTCCAATTTTGACTTAATTTTTTCAATTGTGTATCTTTATTTTAATATTTTGTGTAAATCAGTAAAAACAATGTCTATATTTTTCTAAAAGTCTGTTTTTGAGTGACAAATAATTTCATTATTCCCTTATTTTTGTCAATATTGCGCTTTTATTCTAATTTTACATTATGCTATTGTTTTAATGATTTTTTTAAAAATCCTACATCAGACTTGAGCACAATTGATTTCCATCAGCCTAAGACAGGCAGCCTAATGAAGTTCAGAAACTCATAAAGATTTACAATAATTTTAAACTGCATTGACTGCTGCTATGCCATCAATTTCTGAAGAAGAGTCCAAATGCTGGACTCTTGTTCTAGAAGAAACTACTGGATCAAATCTGTATTAATGCAGAGCATGAAATTAATGGTAGTCCACTTTATGGTATGGTTTTAATGGTAGTCACTTTAAAATAATTGTCAACGGTTCCTTGGACTGGTAATTGGCATTGACATGTAAGAATAGCTGTACAGCAATTATTTATAACCAAATATAAATGGTAGTTTACATAGATGGTGGATTTTAAAAAATGTGTTTAACATTGTAATGTGCTACGCAATAGAGTCACGCCTTCTTATATAAATAATGAGCTGAGGCATTTATTGATGCAATGCTGTTCCCAATATATTAAGGGATGATGAGCTGCTTTGTTTCCCCCCCCCTTTTTTTTAAAGTTTTCAATTTTATGTTTTGGTCTGTGTTGTAACAAAATAAAATATTTCTTCAAAATTGTAACATTGCTCATTCTCTTTAGAAAACCACTTTTCACACAATTCCATTGTAATGTTCTGTTTTACAATTATTTTCTTTGGCTACTTTTACTAGTTTTTTCGAATTTAAATATTTTCAATACAATATTATTACAACACGCGCAAGTCAAATATTTTTAAGGTATTAATTTTAGACACAATATATTTCCTATTATTAATCCTATTATTTAGATTTTTTATCAGACCTTTCAACTTGGCATATCCAATTCCAATATTTAATATGTTCTTATTATAGCAAGTGTACTTTGTTAATTTAGTATAATATTAACTCTTTAGTGTGTTCAATGCGATAAGAGGAAAAATTCTCTTAAATAATAAAAATTGGAATTGAAAAACCAAAATTGCTTGCTGGTTTGGACAAACAAAACTGATTATTGAACACAAATTTAGCAAAAAATGATACCAAAGTCCCACTTTTTGCTCAACTAATGTTAATAAAGTCTGGAGCAGTTTGGAGCAATTTTGAGAAAAAAAATGGTATTTTGGAACAGAAATTTAGTTTTGGAGCAATTTGAGCAGCTGAATTAGTCGTTCTACTCACGGCTTTACATTACTATTTGTACATGAGTTGATTGCTGTATATATACTTTTATCTTTGATTCCACAACATTAGGATGACAAACAATAATCTATTTAATGAATTCGTCATTCATCTCATTGTTTTATATTATTATTTGTATATGAGTTAGTTGCTGCATGCATATTGTATTGTTAATTAAGTCTAAGTGTTTTATTGGTTCTGAACAAATTGTATTTGATCACAGAAGTTCATCAAATTAAGTATATCTTTGTAGCCTTTTTATATTTTTAGATCTAGCTGGTTTCTAGATCTGATATTTTTATCTAGTCTAATGTCTGATTTCCTGTTAACTTCCATAACAAAGCATTTCTGCTATCATCTTTTGTTTTTTTCCCTATTACTTCTATTTAATTTAAATAATGCATTTAAAAGTTTATTTTAAGGTTTTGTTTTAAAAGCCTGAGATGTTTATTATCATTCCAAATTATATGATCAACATATTAAACTGTTGGCTAATTTGTTCTGAGTTTAATGCATCATTTCTTTTAAATACATCAAATCGTTCTGTGGAATACATCTATAATTTTATATTTAACCAGCTGAACTTTATTTTGAAAATTTAAAAATAAATTCAAATTTTACATTTCATTTTTTAGATAACAACTGCAACAATTGTAGTATACAGTTACCACTACTTATTGGATCCTAAAATTGCTGATCTCGTTTCTAAAGAAATTTCCAAGTCATCTGTTGTGGTTTTCGATGAAGCGCATAATATTGGCAAGTCTAAAAATTTTGGTTTTAAGTCAAAGTTGAGGGTTATTCTCTAACAGAAAAGGAATTCTATTTTTTCCATGTTAACCTACCGAAAATTATACTTTTTAATACAAGGAGTGTGATATCAGACCCCCTGTTCTTTCTAAACTAATGTGATCTATTGAACCTAGTTACCAAATTTTAAATTTTAAGGTAGTAATATAATAATATATATGTTATTTATAAACTTTATTTTAAAAAACAAACTTTTAGACGGTTTTAAAAATACTTACAACCTTAAAATTTGGTAACTAAGTTCAATAATTTAATTCGCATATTCCAATAAAAAAAAAAAGGAAACAAAAATATTCAATGTTATTAACTAATTATTTAATAAATAAAGAAATTGCATTCTTATCGTTCTTTGTAGGTTAACATGGAGTATATAGAATCCCTTTTCTTCTTTTCTTTTTGAATAGGATTCTTAGGAGAACCCTATACAATAGGAGAAATTCTTCATGGCTAATTCTCTTTCACTTACATAAGTAATTTAAAACTTAAAGTACAGAAATATGAGTTCAGGTAAACCTAGAGTAAACTGTAAAGTTTGATCTTGAAAAATATCAAAATGTAAGCAAATTTTCATGAATTATCAGATTCACAAATCATCGGATTGTGCTGGAATCTTACAATTATTTGTTTGTATTTTGAAAAAATTTCAAGCAATTGAAACTTAATGGTTTACTCTACGTTTTCCTGAACTTTCTCATCTCTGAACTTTAAATTTTATAATACCAATGAAAAGGAAACAGAATTTGTTATGAAAAGTTTCTCTCCTAGCATAGCGTCCTGTTAATGCAAACATACACTACAATAATAGTTATATTTTATTGCAGACAGTGTATGTATCGCTTCTATGAGTGTAGATATAACCCGGCGAACTATTGAAAGAAGTCAAACTGGTATCAACATGTTAGAAAAAACAGTTAATAAGTAAATAACTTTTTTTTTCTTCCATTATTGAATTATCGATTTGAATGTTGAAAAATTTATTGTTTTTGTACCTTTTTAGACTTAAAGAAACTGATGCCAAAAAATTGAAAGAAGAATATAGTCGAATGGTTGAAGGTTTGAAAGATGCCGGCATTGCTCGTGATACAGACATTATCCTTTCTAATCCTGGTATAAAATTTTAGTTAGTCTAGTTTATCAATGTTTACCCAATTTATTTTAAAATAATATAGTTTAGAAATAATAAGGTTTTAATAATTATTTAAGAAGTTTATTAGAATTAAATTTAACATAAAGTGTTACCTAATTGCAAATTTTTTAAGTATCCTAATTGCAAATTTTTTGCATCAATAGTAGAATAATATACAAATAGCAAACAAATTTCACACTCTTTTCCTTTCCTTTTTCTTTTTAACATAGAAAATAATTCTACTTCAATTATATAGTAAATGTGTTAAAATTGAAACTTTATCTCTCATTTATCTCATCACAAGTAATTTTTTATTTTATTATTTTTGCTTTTTATCTATTTATTTCATATTTGATAAATAAAAAGCTTAGTGAATGTCTAAGTGACATTGATTGGAACAAAACTGAGACTTTGGCACTGTGGTGTAAACAACATACTAGGTTCAAGTATCAAAGTTAGTGACCTGGCGAACCTGTAAACTTCTATGTATCATCAATGTATTTTTGTAATCTTCTTTCTGAAGTATAATGAACTGAACTAAATTTCAATTGAATGAAATGTATATATACCAATCTACCATCGTAAAAGTTTGTTATTTTTCTCTTTCACGCTTTGCTTTATGTAGATTCTTTTATTCTACGTGTTTGAATTTAATCCTAAATCCTAGATGTTTTTAATTTATTTGTTAAAATGTTATTAAAGTTACGTTAACATTTCTCCTTTTTTATCTTTGACAATTGACCTATCTAAAATGCAGAATTTAATATACGCAATCTATCTCGCCAAAGCAGCATTCTAAAATGCCAATTCTGAGACTTGGATAGTTCAAATAAGTGTAGTGTGATAGATTTATGAACTTTGCAGGCAAGAAGTTTAGAAATCATATAATTTACTCAATTCACTGAAATGTCACCTATCTTTTATCAATTCACCATTATCAACTTAGCTTTACAAATGTATTTTATATTATGGAAATTCTTTCTTCTTAAACTTAATTTAAAATTTTTATTTATTTTTTGTGTTTCAGTTTTACCCGATGAAGTATTGAATGGTAAGTTGTGCTTTTTTTGCAATTCTAAATAATCAACTGCATTAAAAATGTTTTTTTTTTCTTTTAAAAAAAGAAAAATTATTGAATTTATATAATGATCTTTAGTACTCAGTAATTTTTAATCAGAAACACTTTTATATCCGTCGTTGAACAGCCGCCCCAATTTTTGGGTTTACAACAACTAATGTTCAACTCCATAGCCTTGTAATTTTTAGCCAATCCAGAAGACAAGCAAACTCCTGGAGCAGTACCCCCAGAGGTATTGATTTGTTATGGAAACTCGATAGATTTAATGTGCATCAGTTACCATTTACTGCACGGGGAGTCTTCCGCCGGCTGGGATCGAACACACAAACTCTTGGACATGGGCCCAGTACACTACCAACCAGGCTATCCGGCCCAATCAGCAACACTTTTATAACCGTCGTTGAACAGCCGACCCGATTTTATGAGTTTACAACTACAAATGTTCAACTCCGTAGCCTTGTAATTTTGAACCCAATCCAGAAGACAAGGGAACTCCTGGATCGAGTATTGGGAAAAATTTGCCTTTGTGGATGACTTTTTGATGGAGCTAACCCGCATTTACGTTACATGGATACCACGAGAGCCCCCCACGGTTAGCCTGAAGACAAGGGGACTCCACCCATGATCTGCCTACCACTGAGGATATTTCACGTCAGCTCTGTGGTCGATGCAAGCCGGATGCAGAATTCGTATCGACTGGGATACGAACTCGTTTTGCCTCATTGGAAGGCAAACGCTCTATTCCCTGAGCCATCGTGGCCCAATCAGCAACACTTATGTTAAACCAAGAATAAAGAAGGTTTTAAATTGATTAGGAGTTATCAATCTATATAATACATAGTGTTCAAAAATTCAACTGCCTAATTTAGAGGAAGGATAAAAAGTATCAAAAAAAGTTAGAACTTACTTTAGAGAATAGGGTTGCCAAATCACATCGAGGCAGAAAAAATTGCAAAAAAAAGCAAACTCTCAATCTGGTAATGTTTGTTATTGCTTTGGCTAGTATCAAAAGCAAATCTGTCATCTTTGAGAACGTTCTGGATTTATTTTTACATCATTTTATATTGAGCAAGGACATCAATTGACACCACTTCGAACAACTTTGGGAATGATTAGTCAAATATTTTTGCAGTTATCAAGTTTTTAGCATTTTTGTAGATATTTCCCATTGTCAAACCAGTATATTTTATTTATTTTTCTTTTTTGCAATTTTCAGCATTACTTGTGTCCTCATGTTTTATTATAAATTTTTAGCCTATTGATGTCTTTTATCTATCCCCTCTAAGTTTGTTGGTCAAATTCTGAAATATCCTGCATGTAAGTTATTAGTTGTATTTTTGCCTTTGAACACAAGCAAGTGAAAAAAGTTTATTCAAAAAAATTTAAAGTTGTATTTTATAATTCCATCCTCAAGGCAGTTTTAGACACTGGGATGTTAGAAGTTTATAAATTTTTTTTCTAATTAAAGGGATTTCGTTAATTTATTTTTTAATGGCCTCTTTATTTAAAAATCATTACCTCAATTTATTGAATATATCATAAATGTGTTTGCTATTTTACTACAAATGCCATATTTTAATTTAATTCAATCAATGTACAGAGGCTGTGCCTGGAAACATTCGAAGTGCTGAACACTTTATTGCTTTTTTAAAGCGGTTTCTTGAGTATGTGAAGATGAGGCTTCGAGTACAACATGTAGTTCAAGAAAGTCCTGCAGCTTTCTTAAAAGATATTGTTCAGAAGGTTTTGATTGAAAGAAAACCTCTCAGGTAACTCAGAGGAATGACTTAAGCTACTGTTTTGGCTGAGGAAAAGTAGTTTATTTGCTATAAGAAATAATGCAATTTGAGTTTTGTATGTTATTGGTATGTTTAAGTAGTCATATACATATTTGAATACTTATATCTGCCTATGTGAATCCTTATTTGTTTTTCAAAATTTGTTACAGTTGTAAAATTTATAGATAATAGTTTTATGATAACTGTTTTAGAGTTTATAGAGCGTAACATCCATACTACTGATACTGTCTGTTGTATCTTAATAAAATAAAAAAAATATCATTTGTTTCTAATTAGGAAAAAAAAGTAGATATAACATTTGCTGTATTTTATATGAGAATGAAACATATATTAGTAAAATTTAAGGGAAAATAATATTTAAATAGATTTCTACAATTAAGTTAATTTTTTGTGTTAGATTAACCAGGCAAGTGATTTTTTCGCAATTTCGCTGAATTCTGTGAATCTGAAGACTTTTGATTTGTGGACTTCAAAGAATTAGAATGTCATATTTCAGCACGATTTTTTTGAAGTTCTGCTAAACGAAATTTAAATTATGTAACTTTCCATTACATAACTTAAATAACAGAACTCCATTAATAAGACACTTATTCTGACCTTACTAAAACCCTTCTTTTTCTTCCAGAGTTCTTATTCTTGGGTTTTAGTGATTTATAGTACAAAAAATATAGTATTACAAGTAAACAAAATAAATTACATATCTAGAAAAACTTTGTTTAGTTTGAAAGTGATATAATCTAACCATAAAGTTCTAAAAAAAATTCTGATTATTTTTTCTTCCAGCAATCACCTGTCTGATGACCTTTTTTGAAACAGTTTCAAAATTAAACATAGAAATTTTTCACGTTTTGAACTTTTTTTTGTTAGTAAAGACAATCTAAGGAACATTTTATGGTCAGTTGTGAATAAGTATTCAAATGTTGCGATCCGCTGTATGACTAGAACTTTTTTCTGTCTGGATATTAATACGATAGTTTTTAATGAAAAAATGTGCTTTGTAAATAGCTTGTTGTTCTGTCACAGTTTTGTTAAGCTAAAGTTTTCAAGTTAAGGAAAATGTAAATGTCACTTAGAACTTACTTTCACAAAGCTTTTCAATTATTAAATTATGATTGTAGTTTTAGGGTTATTTGAAATACATTTCAGCTAAGCAAGTGAAACAAGTCTTTGCCATGAAATCATTTTTGTCACAGTCTCTTCATACATTCATGTCATTCCTGTCAAACGATTTAAAAGAAAATTATAATTGATTAAATTTTATTTGTTCTTTGCATTTGCTTAATAAAACACTTGTGCTATATTTTTTTTTTGTCGGGAATTTTAATTTTTATATTTATATAAATTTACCAATCAATAAACTTTTTAATTGACAAAACTTAATGCTTTTGAATTGGAATAACTGCTTATGTTTAAGTTTTGTTTTATAATACCTAAGCATAATACAAAGTTAGAGTATTGAAATATTTTATTCCTTTCTTAAACATCTGTTGCAACAATATTACTTTGGTCCCATTTGGGCTCAAAGTTGGCTCGGAATGAGTTCTATAAAAATAAGGAACCAATATTGGGATGTCTATTGAGCCTAGAATGGCCAATATGAGGCCTATATTGGCTGAATAATGAATATAAAATATCGGGGGAATCGGATAATTCTACATAGGGCCAATATTGGTTGTAAAGTGGCTGTAAAATCATGGGTGGGTAATATAAAATCGTGGCTGTAAAATGTTCTATATCGGGCCAATATAGAAAAATTTACAGCCCTTTGAACCTTTATTGAGCCGAGATTTGTGAATATTGGTCCAATAAGGGCCCAAGTTATTTTTCTGCAAGGGGTGTTTTAATAAATTTAAGTGTTGTTTTATGCTTAAATTTATTTTAATGAGTTAAAAAATGCATGTATTTTTATCTTTTATTTTGTTAAATTTTTTGTATAATTTATCTTAAAATTTATTGTTGTTTGAACTTGTTTGCAATAAAATACTTTTGCTCTTATAGATTTTGTTCTGAGCGGTTGAGATCTCTAGTTCGAACATTAGAAATAACAGAACTGAATGAAATGTCTTCTCTCACAGCTCTGTGTAATTTTGCTACTCTTGTTAGTACATACATCAAAGGTAACTGATTTCCAGCATTTCTGATTGTTATTTTATGTAGCCTTTTTTAAAGTATTTATCAAAAAGCAATAATACTGTATTTTGAACAATGTTTGTTAATTTATTTTAATATCTCAACAATTGAAATTCCCAATATTTTATTTATGCAGTAATTTTTAAAAGGTTTTAAATGGGAAAGATATAGTTATGGCTCTTTAAAGTACTCTTCTAAAAAAAAAATTAATGATTCAATAAATTTTTTTTATTTTTCTGTAATGTTTCAAATAAAATCCAATAAATATTACGAAGGAAAGCATCTTTCATTTCCTATTGTTAGGAACTTTCAAACTATAAGAGTTTATTCCTATCGCAAGTTTATCCTGTTACAAGTCTTACTTCTAAGACTAGATATGTTATAATTTTTTTTAGTTAACAAACATTGTTTACTTAGTTAACAAATCTTTTTGCATAAGTTAGGCCCAGTTATTTGTTTTTGAATAACATGGGTTTACTTGAAACAATATTTAAGAAACTTTTAAATGGTAATTGTGTTTTTGCTATTTGTCATCAATGTTTGTTTCTATTTGAAGGCTTAAAACTTTTAATTTGTCATTACAGGTTTTACTATAATCATTGAACCTTGTGATGATAGAACACCATCTGTACCAAATCCCATTCTTCATTTTAGTTGTATGGATGCTTCAATAGCCATAAAACCTGTTTTTCAGCGATTTCAATCTGTTATTATCACATCGGGTGTAAGTGATGCTGCACTTTTATATTCAATTAATATTTTTTTTTTAAAATTTAGTATTTTATTCTCCTCAAAAATATTGCTATGGTTTTGTTGTGGTTTCTAAATATAAAATACTTTTCTACAATTAATTTTATGATTTTTTTTTCTAGACGTTATCCCCTCTTGATATGTATCCCAAAATTTTGGATTTCCGTCCAGTTATTATGGCTTCCTTTACAATGACTTTAGCTAGACCTTGCTTATGCCCAATGGTAAGACAATTCATGTAAATTATATTCTTTAATATTAAAGTTAGAACATATTTCTAATTTTCTGAACTTTCTTAATATTTTAGATCGTTAGTAAGGGCAATGATCAAGTATCAATGTCTTCAAAGTTTGAAACTAGAGATGATATAGGTAATAATATTTAATAAATTACTTTGAAAAATGGTAATACCTATATTGTTTTATAAATTCTTTTTCAGGTGTTAAAAGTATTGTATTTAATATAACATGAATGTCCCTTTTCAAATTTTAGACATATATTTCGCAAACACTTTTACAATGATTTAAAAAGAAAACACATTGTCTGCTTTTTTGTTTGTTTTTTGCTTTGGAAAAGATGTTTTCTTTAGCTTATGCAACAATGCAAAAAAACAAAAAAACAAACAAACTCGCATTATTTGGTAAACTTATTTGATACACCGTGCATTTTCAGATTTAGTAGTTAACTTTTTCAACATTGGATTGAACTATAAGCGTAAAAAAAGGTTAATTTTCACATTGCTATAAAAGTCAGGTACTGGATGAATGTTGTTAAATTGGTATAATAGTTATGTATGGTTGATAAATTTAAATCAAAAGATGAATCTCAATATTTATATAATGATTTCCTTTTGTTTTTCATTTTCATGATGATAATTTTTAAAATAAAGAGGTTTTTATCTTAACACAACATTCTAGCAAAACCATTATTGCTTTAAACATTATTGCATATACAAGATAACTTATACATATATAATAATTATAAGTAATACTATATACATACATAATAAATTCAAATATATACATAGTAAGTACACATATTATAAAAATTAATTTTATTAATGGTTCTTGACCAAATTAAATGTAATGTTAAACAGTAATCAAGTTTATATCCAGCATTCAATTCTCCATATTCAATTCTTTTTTCTGCACCCACTTCATCGTGTTATATAGTCCCATGCTGCAAAATCATATTGTATCATTAAAATTTTTTTCACGAATAAAAATCTTGTTTAAATTGTTACAAGACGAAAAAAGTTTTTAGCATGAGAATAGAATTTAAAATAATTTGTATTGAATAATTTGAATTCAAAGAAAATTTTTATTGATTAAATTTTATGGAAGGAAACATTTAAGTTATTCTTTGTAGTTATCAACTATGATAATAGCTAATAGTAATCAGCTCCACTATTTTCACTTCTTTGATTGACCTGCATTCTTTTTGTTTTGATAATTAGTTCTATATTTAATTATATGCCTATCGTTTCATGTAACGTAGCTAAAATGATAACAAAACTCAAACAATGGAATTATATATTTAATATATAAGTCACAATTATTACTAAAACAGAAATATGCATATTAAAAAAAAGAATCAGTAAATTAATATTGATTTTAACATATAAAATATTTTGAGTTAATATGTTACTCTTCTTTGGATTAAGTTTTTAAAAGAATATCATACTTTTAGATTTACACCAAATAAATGACATGCTTTAGTTTTTGTAACTAAAATTTATATATATATATATACCTTGTGATGANATAACGGTGCAAATAATGTCAGATTATAAATAAATTTGCATGTTGCAGCTGTGATACGAAATTATGGAAATCTACTGGTAGAAATGTCTACTATTGTCCCTGATGGCATTGTAGGATTTTTCACTAGCTACACTTACATGGAAGCTGTTGTGGCTGCTTGGTATGAACAGGTATGATATTTATTTATAATAAGCAAAGGGCCAGGATAGCCTGGTTAATAGGGCACTGGACCCATGTCCCAGAGGTCGTGGGTTCGATCCCCGCCCCGTGTAGTAAATGGTGATTGATAACTGTTAAATCTGACGTCACAAAGTCCTCCACGTTCCCACAACAAATCATACCTCTGGGGGTACCTATCCAAGAGTTTCCTTGTCTTCTGGATTAGGTTCAGGCCACGTAGTTGAACAGTAATAGTCGCAAACCCAAACTTTAGTCGGCTGTTCAACGATGGTTATAAAATATAAAATAAAATATATTAATCAAACCTTAATATGGCAAACTTAGAAGGAGAAAGTAAAAAATTCAAGACAATAAAAATCTTAATATTTTTGACAAAGTATTAACTGTGTTAGCATTTTAGTGTAATACTAACTTATTCTGTTATTTATATGACGTTAACCTCTTTGTTAGTAAATGTTTCAAGCGACTTCTTTTTAATCATAGCATTCTTGTTTAGATTATAATGACAAGAAATGGTTAATAAAATTAATCAAGCAAACTCTTTGAATTACAGTGTATTTGTTGAAAATATTTTTAATTATACATAGATATTAATAGAAAAATTTTTGTTTAGCATAAATATTTTGTAAAATTGTTGGCTAACGAGTATGTTTCTAATATCAAAATAATAAATTCTTTGGAAAATGATTTTTTTTTTGGGATAGTAAAAAATGCGTGTTATCAAAGTTTGCAATAGTATTGTTTAATTGTTATTTTTCCTTTAATTTTATGAAATGCCTCCTTTTCACCCTGAAAGCTCACAATGGAATTCGGGTTCATGTGAAATTTGTCTTTTTTTACTATGCATAATGTTTAAATTTTTAATTTTCATAATTTTAATGTTATTTTTTTCATTGATATTTGTTGCAGTAGTACCTAGATTATTGGAATTGGGTCCAAAATTATTTTCGTTAATTAAAATATTTGAATTATTAGAGATAACATCATTTATAAATCTATTTTATCCAAGCTTTTTTTTTTTTTTAACTATAGTGCTATTTTGCATTTGAACTTCGCTTTAGTTTGTGCATTTAATAAATGTCCAGTTTTAGACTACAATTACATTAGTCTATTGTTCTACAATTTTTGTATTTTTATCAGATAAGAATTTAAAATTTATGATGCTAACATTGCTGTTCTAAATGCAAAGCTGCTTCTGTGTTCTAACAGGTTTAAAACTTCTCATATTGTACTTGATTCTAGGCATTTTAATAATGTTTTTATATAAAGATATCATAATATACGATTAAGGTTTTACTACAAGTAGAATAATTAGTGCTCAAAATTTTATTCGCCTCTTTAAAATGCAATTTTTCATTTTTCCATATCAGCAACCAGTTTCATAATCAATGTCAAGAGGAGTGGTTACAGTTTAATAATTGTTTTAGCTGTAAATTAAATTGTAGGATTTTGGAAGTACAAATCTGTTAAGTCATACAAAATACAGTTAAATTTCGATTATCTGAACCTCTTTAACCCGAATGTTTCTGTCAACCAAAGTGAGTTCAAACATAAATTTTTTTCTTGATTTTGAAAATAGGCTGTCATAATTCAGTTATACATTATAATGTGTGACTACATGGAATTAATCATTTTATGTGAATTATAAATGAACGTTTTTTTGCATTGTTTTTTATTATTAATGGGAGAATTACAATTTCATTGTTTTATTTGCTTTTACATGATTACTTATGTTGTTTAATTTGACCAAGAGTTTCCACTTCTGTTAAAAAGACATGAGTCATAGTAATTGTGAAAATAAAAATGCAAATAAAAGCAAGAGAAAATCTTAGAAACCTTGCTGAGAAATTCAAATTTGTGAAATCAATATCAATGATTAATGAAAACATTTAACGATTTAGATGTTGCATTGATAAATGTTTTTGTTAAGAAAAGGAGTAAAAAAACCTAATCCGTTCAAATAGTGCAAGTGAATTTTAAAATATTGTTATTATGCCTTTTTCAAAAAAAAAAAAAGAAAAGAAATTTATTAAATGTTTTAATAAAAATTAAATTTTAATACAGTGTAACACTATTATTTAAAAGTTTGTTTTCGAGTTCATTGATGAAAATTGATTAAAAAAACAATGTTCCCACTATAATCCAAGGATTTCGATTATCCAATGTAGGTCTGTTTTTCTCGCATTAAAAAATGATTAACGCGAGGAGTTTGCGCACTCTATTAATCAATTTTAAAATGCACGAATGTCTCAAACTTTGGAAAAAATTTCTTTTTCTGCCATTTTGAATAAATTCCGTCATTTTGAAAAAGACATGAGAACAAGTGTTGAGAAAAAAAATTAGTCCTTTATTATAAGTTGTTTAAAGTTAGCTCCCTCATCGACAATTTGCAGCAATTTGTAAAAGTTGAAGTCTGTAAAAACTATGCTGGAAGACCTAACAAGAAGTATGAACATGGAAACAACTTCAACGAACTTCACTATTCATTAACAGAAATAATTGAAAAGCCTATGCTGGCAGATGTAGTGTATAGGAAAGTGTGAGCATAATGCTACAAATTTAATTAGTGATTCCGAATAGTTCAGCATCTGTTGAAATGTCATTTAGCACCGAAAACCGAATTAAACCAAAATATTGCAACTGATTGCCTGATGAGTATTTGAGCAACCTAATGAGAATAGCTGGTGAAAAAGTAGATAAAGAACATTTTCCACATGATGATGCATCAAAAATATTCAATGGTTAAGAAATTAGAAGGTGTTAAAAATGTATTATAATTAAAGAAATATTTTTTTCCAAGTCTATTCGTGTCTTTTTAATTTTTAGAAATCTCACTTAACTTTTTGAAATCTCACCCTGTTTTTCAGAAAGGGTNGCTAACAAAAAAGTATTTTTTTGGCGTCAGATCTACGTCAACTTTCCGCTGACGCCCAGATAAGGCGTTAGTTCTAAGAAACCAGGCCTTGAGCTAACAAACCAGTATTTTGTTGGCGTCAGCGTGACGTTGACGTCCCGCTGACGCCCAGATAAGGCGCTTGTCCTAAGAAACCAGACCTTTAGACTACAATTACATTAGTCTATTGTTCTACAATTTTTGTATTTTGATCAGATAAAAATCTAAAATTTACGATGCTAACATTGCTGTTCTAAGTGCAAAGCTGCTTCTGTGTTTAAACAGGTTTAAAACTTCTCATATTGTAGTTGATTCTATGCATTTTAATAATGTTTTTATATAAAGATATCATGATGCACAATTAAGGTTTTACAACAAATAGAATAATTAGTGCCCAGCATTTTATTCACCTCTTTAAAATGCAATTTTTTGTGTTTCCATGGCTACACACAGCCTCATAATCAATGGCAAGAGAAGTGGTTACAGTTTAATAATTGTTTTAGCTGTGAATTAAATTGCATAATTTTAGAAGTACAAATCTGTTAAGTCATACAAAATACAGTTAAATTCCGATTATCGAACCTCTTTAACCTGAATGTTTCTGTCAACTGAAGCAGGTTCAAACATACATTTTTTTCTTGATTTTGAAAATAGGCTGTCATAATTCAGTTATACATTATAATGTGTGACTACTTGGAATTAATCATTTTATGTGAATTATAAATGAACGTTTTGTTGTCTTTAAAAACTATTTGCATTGTTTTTTTAATAATTAATGGGAGAGTTACAATTTCATAGTTTTATTTGCTTTTACATGATAACTTGTGTTGTTTAATTTGACCAAGAGTTTCCACTGCTGTTAAAAAGACTTGAGTCATTGTAATTGTAAATAAAAAATTTAAAATAAAAGTGCAAATAAAAGCAAGAGAAAATCTTAGAAAGCTTACAGAGAAATTCAAATTTATGAAATCAATATCAATGATTAATGAAAACATTATCTATTATGATGCTGCATTGATAAATGTTTTTTTAAAAAACGGAGTAAAAAAAGCATAATTATCTGTTCAAATAGTGCAAGTGGATTTGAAAATGTTGTTATTATGCATTTTCAAAAAAAGAAGAAAAAAAAATATTAAATGTTTTAATAAAAATTAAATTTTAATACAGTATAGCACTGTTATTTAAAAGTTTGTTTTTGAGTTCATTGATGAAAATTAATTAAAAAAACAATGTTACCTCTATAATCCAAAGATTTCTATTATCCAATGTAGGTCTGTTTCCAATTGCTGCAGATAATTGAAGATCATATGTATTTCTATTTTTCATCTAATATTTTAATCATAAGGTTATATATAGTTGTTTTATAAAACATTTAGATGCAAAAAAATATTTAATGAATAGTTTTTTTTTTCTATTTGCAGGGCATTATTGATAATATTTTGAAAAAGAAGTTGTTGTTCTTAGAGACTCAAGATTCTGGAGAAACCAGCTTAGCTTTGTCGAATTATGTTAAAGTAAGCTACAAATTCTTTTTTTACATTGTATATTATTTGTTTTATCTAGAAACATATTCTGTTAAACTAAATTAACACACATTCGTCTGCACGACAAAAATTTGTAATTTCTCCACCAGTTACCTGTAACTAAATGAAAAAAATTCAGCATTTGCACGTTGCAATAAATAATTATCAAAAAATGTCAACATTTGTTCAATGACCAATGACCGTGCAGATATTGTCAGATTGATCTATGTAATATTTTTATGTCTTATTTTGCATCATTATTCCTTTTATTAGGTCCTTCAGGGTGATTATGAAGTCTAAATATTTTGGTGATACCACTACGTATTTATAATAGATACTGGGACAAAATGGTGATTAATAAAGAACAGCTATTGTTTGTGCTTTCCGAATCAGCCTGACACAAAATCAAATCAAAGGGCTTGTAAAACTATTGTAATTAGCCATGCATTTTTCAATGGTTAAACTTATGATTAAAATTGTTACAGAGATAGGTAGTTAAGAGGTTTCCAGATTTTCCACCAGATAACAGTTTAATGAAACATTTTATACTGACTATACAGAAACATCTTATGAACTACATGATATATTGTTTTCCCCCCATCAAAAACCCTTTCTTAACCTATTTTAAAGTGTGATTTGTTGTTGCATTGTCCCAAGTCCTTATAGTGTGGGTATCAGAAATTTAATTGCAACACATGTATATTTTACAAATATGCATTTTCAAATGTCCATATGGATGTACTTTTATCTTAGAATGTTAGAAATTTGACTGTCCATTGTGTTTATATTATTGAAGCTCGCAACTTCATTTTTGATCTTACAGTTGATGTTTCTCAAAATGTTTAATAAAGTTACAGAAAATATATTTATCAGAAAATTAAAACAACTTCATAGTTGTTTATTAATATAAGTATTGCATTTATTGAAATGTGATTTTATATCATATTTCGCCATTCATGTTTTTTCTTTGATTTAAAATATAGTTTTTTTTTAGTTTAGTTTGTATGTATAGGGTCAATAATGGTTTCATTCTTAAACATATATAAATACTGCTCAAATTAAAATTATTAAAATTATATTGTTGCAATATTCTTTACAATTTAAATATATATCAAATTTTTCCAATTGTTTTTTGTAAAATACTATTTCAATAAACTTACATAGTTTGGGTAAGAAAAACCATGCATATTGTTTAATATATTTCAATATTAGTTTTATTTACATCAGCCAATTACTTACTATACTTTATTTGGAAATAACTGTTTAAAGGTACAATATCAAGATGTAAATATAACTCAATAGTTTAAAATTTTTTTGGAAGAACATGCTTTAACTACCCATAAAAATTAGTAAATAATTCTGACTTGGGAACCTCATCTAATTTAGAGGAAATGAATAATAGATACTACAACATTGAAAGCCTATACTTCTCTTTCTAAGACTCAGCCTCCTTTAAATAAGTTTTATATAACTATTTTTTTGGATGTTTTTTATGTACCTGGGCAGTTCTTTGGAAACAACTGAAAGACTCTGTAGTAGTAAAAATTTAGAAATAAAGGTATTAAATATTGATAAGTAATTATTAAAAAAAAACCCAACTAAATCCTATACTATGCAGCTACAGCTGCTTTGCGTCTGATTCGTTTAATGGTCAATTTTTCCCCAACAGTCTGTCCTGTCCTGTATGTCTGTTTCTAAGTAATATTTTTCAAATTTTAACTAAAATTAATTTATGTCTTAAAATTTGTTTTAGCTTTTGTGTCAGTTTTTATTATCTATTTGTAATTGTGCATTATTACAGATTCATAAAATATTTTTCAGCTAAATTCTATAGACTTACTTTCATTTTTGTTTAGGGATTAGTCTATGATAATTTTGTATGATTCTTTCAAAAGCAAAATATTTAGCTTTTTTGTTCTGCACGTACTTCCACAGGTACATAAAACTTTGCCCTTACAAAAAAGTGTGTAACTTATCAAAGTTGTGAAACAAAAATTTTGTACTATATTGTTCTATAATTTCTATATATTATTGATCTTCAGAACAGGATTTTGGTTGCACATGCACTTTAATTAAAAAAAGACAAAAACATTTCTTAGTATTTTGGTTAAATTAGGATATCACACAAATACAACTGTGTGGACTAAAGAAAGTTTAGTATTATCAAAACTTATATGTTTTTAATTGAAATATTATGCAAAAAACGTAGAATTAAACATTTCCATGAATGTCAGGTTAATTTATCTTTAAAATTTTGTTTTCTTAAAGGCTTGTGAAAATGGAAGAGGAGCTGTTTTATTGTCTGTGGCCAGAGGAAAAGTTTCAGAAGGAGTTGATTTTGGTTTGTTACATACTATGTATTTTAAATCTAAGTATGTATTTAACTTTTTTACATTATTTTCAAGAGTAATTTTTTTTTATTGTTTTATTTCAATTTAGATCATCACCTTGGAAGATGTGTGATCATGTTTGGAATACCTTTTGTCTATACCCAAAGTAGAATTTTAAAGGTATTTTATCAATATAACATTAATTGTATTGAGAAAAAAATATAAAGATTATTTTGAAATGAATAGCTGATTTATGATATGTTTATTTTTTAGGCACGCCTTGAATATTTAAGAGATCAATTTCAAATAAGAGAAAGTGATTTCTTAACTTTTGATGCTTTAAGACATGCTTCTCAATGTGTGGGACGAGCCATAAGAGGAAAAACTGATTATGGTATCATGATATTTGCAGACAAGGTATTTTTTATCTAAAAAATATTTTCTTTTCACTTTTTAAATTGTAATTTTTCTTGTTCTAACAGTCTGGAAAAGGTTGAGGATCATAAAAAAATATCAAGTAAAATTTTATTTTTATGAAGCTGAAAATACACTTTAGTCCATTAGATATTTTATTAAAAAATATTAAAATCAATTTATATTAACGTCTTGCTTTATTTTAAAATAAAATATGAAAAAAATTATTAAAAAAGTTATAAAGTAACAATTTGTTTGTAATAAGAATAAACTTAAAAGAAATAAATTTTGAAAAAATTATTTAAAAACCTTATTTATATACCTAACAATATTCTGAAGATTGTTTTTGAATTTAATTAATGGTTAGTAAGTTTCTTTTGTTTGATCTATTCCTCTCCAATGATCTGATTTTCTAAATTTTGCCTAAATATTCAAGTTGAACACAAATAGTTCATGCATATTTCAATTTTTACTAAGTAAATGATTTACATATTCTTTTCTCTAAGTTAATGTTTAAAAAAACCCTAAGAATTCGAGCAATATAACCTGAAAAGCCTAATAATTCTGATCAGACTTTAATTTATAACTTTGAAAATATAGAACATAAGAATCAAACACAACACACTATATTACAGACTGCTTTAGGAAATTGTTTCAATATATGTTAAATATTAACAGATTTCTAATCATCAAGCATTCCTTAACTTCTTTAAATTGCTTTATGAGGAAAAATAGTAGGAAAAGGGAATTATTCTGAAAAACTTTTAATCTAATGACCAGATTATTATGCACTAGGACTCTATCTTAATTATGCCAATTAAGTAGTGCAGACAATATTTTAAGTCCCAAAAACGTATTTTCTCTGAATAAACATACCTTTTTTTTCAAAGATTTTAGATTTTTGACCCTCAAACTACTGGGCCTGTATTTGCAGTCTAGAAATTAAGGGTGTCAACTTTTGACCTTTTACCTACCTAATTTATTAGGTTCTAATAATTTAGGCAAGTAAAAGGTCAAAAGTTTACACCCTTAATATTTTTTTCTCTTTTTGTATATTTTGCCTTATCTTGGGAACTTTTGAAGAGAACCAAAAAGTTTTTGTATACAATTATTTGAATTCATTTTCTAAAAAATCATGCAAAAAAATTTTTTTGATAATTTTTTGTTTTGTTTAATAATGGTCAAAAAAAAATTTGAATTGTAAGGTATAAAAATTTTTATAATATTTTAAAAGTACTTTCAAATGGCAAGATACAAAATGTGAGTTTTTAAAAAAAAATTTGATCTCTTAAAGAGCTATTTGATCGATTTCATTTAAACATTGCAAAATTCTGTACACTTTACAATTCAAAGTTTTTTTACTGTTAAATGAAATATAATAACTAATTATTAAAAATTATTTTTATTGAAATTATCTTTGGATTAACGCACACAAATTTTATAATTGTGTACAAAATCTTCTCGATTCGCATCAAAAATTCCCAAGATATGGTTACTTACACAAAAAGAAAGTAAATTTAACTTTAAGGGGTTTATACATTTGACCATTTTTCCTGGCCAAACTATTAGGATCATATTTCAGTGGTTTATCTAATAAGTGGACCAGATAGTGGTTTATTGAGAGGGTCATGAGTCATTCGTCACAGAAAAGTATGCTCTTTAGAGAAAGTGCATTCTCATATCTGATTTTGTTACTTTAAATATGATTATTAATTAGTGTATACAATATTTTAAGTTAGGCCCTCCAACCATTGAAATAGAGTCCAAGTATGTGATAAACTTATCATTAGATCAAAAGTTGTATGGTGCACAAAAAAAGAGGGAATAATCTAATTCCTTCAGGCAAAAGAGGCATTTTTTATGCATCCTTTGAAATTGTACTTGCTATATTTCAATCTCTACATTTGAACGGTGTCTGAATTTATATTTTGTTCTAATAATGATTACTTGTCATTGGTACAAATAAGTACTAATTTATAAATTTATAGTTTTGTTTTGACTAAAGATTTGTATATATTTTTGCAATAGCTATATACAGTGCAGAACCTCTTATCCGGAAATCAGAAAACCGGAAAACCAGATAACCGTAATGAAATTTAGAACCGGAAATTAATTTTCTTCCATTAAAAAAATTTATTTTTTCTTGTAAGATTTTGAGCCCATTTTGTTATTTAGAGCGTACGGCGTATCGAGTTGACGAAAGAACTGATTTAGAGGACGGATCAAAAGCCGTTTGTAGACGAATCTCACATAAGCACAAAAGGCTTATATATGTTATTAATGTTAATAATAACATTAATAACATATATAAGCCTGTATATATTTTTTATTTCATAATTTCTTTCCTTATTTAAACTTATGTGTATTATTATTTATAATTTTTTATTATTCCTTAAACTATTTCAAAAGAATTTTTTAGTTTAGTTTTCTAAACATTAAAAAACGGCATTTTGTAGCGATTCAGAAAACCGGAAAAAATCAGTTATCCGGAATCGCGATGGTCCCGATCGTTCCGGATAATCGGTTCCCTACTGTATATTGAATTTAATGCAATAATGTAAGTAACAGATTTTGTTTTTGTTTTGTAGAGATTTTCACGTGCTGATAAATATGGGAAGCTTCCAAAATGGATTCAGGAATATTTGTCTGAGTCACTTCATAATTTGTCTATCGAAGAGGCTGTTCAAATTGCTAAGCGATTTTTAAGACAGATGGCACAACCCTTTACAAGAGTAATTACATATTTATCTAATTCTAAAAGAACTTTCTTTTGTAGAAATACGACACATTTTATTATTAATTTTTCTTTTTACGTGTTTATAAAATTATAAATTAATTTAATTTTAAGTTTTAATATCTGTGTGTTGTAGCAAAAATATTAAAAGACTTAGAATGCAATAACAAAATTGTGGGTTAATTATTTTTGGGGGTGTAAAAAAATAAAAGTTCATAAAGCTCAAGTTGTGAGTTTTACAATAAATTCATCAAACCAAATGTAGTTAAATTTATTAAAATTCATCAAATGGCTTGGTCATGTCTGTAGATATTAGAGATGAGATAGTCTCAGCTAGAGTCCTGGCTCAAGTTAATTTACTGAAAAAATATTACGGGTTAGAATTTATAATTAAAGTTTCCTACACTTTTTTACAACTTCTAAACCGTTTGTTTCCAGAATTAAGTATAAAAGATATAAAATTTATGAGGTATAAAATTTTTAGTGATCTTGCTGTTTTTGTTCGGTGCTTTTGCTTTATGAGGCTAGCACTAATTGTGAAATGACTTTTATTTAGCTTAATATTTTGATTTTTATTTTTAATATTTGTTTTAGTTATCTTAGAGTTTTAACTTTATTCAGTTTTTCTCTCCGCTTTTTTCTTTTTCAGATTTGTAACTGAAAAGTTTTTAATTTACTGACTTTCTTGTTCAGATATCGAAGGCAGACTCCTTTATTTAATGTTTATCTCAGGCTCTAAGCAAACCTATATATTTCTGTCGGGTTTGGATTAAAATTTTTTGGGTTCGGACCACCAAAAGCAAACCTGAGCTTATCAATCATAGTTCAAATAATAAAAACACTATAAAAAAAAAACTTTTCGCAAACTAGTATTTAAGAAAAAGAGGTAGACCACATACAAGATGGTTAAATAATGTGGAAAAGTTTCTAAGAAGTGAAGGAGTCAATAAATGAAGAGTCTGATAGATCAGGATGTATTAAGCTGCTTGTGACTGTCATGACTGTAGTGCTGGTAGTAGAAGAAAAATTATTTATTTCACATTTTTTTTTAAAGTTCTGGAATTTATGATTTATTATATTGGTTTTCAATTTGATAATTAATTAGAGCTAATTAAAAAAGTTATAAGCAGATATAAAAACCTACTTTCTCTGAATAAACTAATCAGGTTTTGATTCATGACTATTAAAATATGTTTTCAATAGTTGAGACAAAAGGGCAGGTGAAAGATTTTGCTTTTCAATGTTAATTTCACATTTTGCTTAGAGTTAGAATGCTTGTTTATGCAAACAAGAATTTTTAAGAATTATTAGTTACTTTTGATTATTCAATGGTTGAATTGTAAAATGTGCAATTTTTTTAATATCATTTTGAACTGTGTTATTTTAAACCACAAAATTTGAAGGAAATCTGGTTAACGGTTCTGATCAATAAAAATTTAAAACTTTTTTGAAATTTTATAAATCAGGAAATACTTGAACAATTTCAATCAAGTTTTGGTTTTTTCTTTGTCATGTGAAGTGATGTAAAAATTTGCATACTTCATGCAAACTTTTTCTATCTTTATGAGGTTTAAATAATTATTAAAATTTTCTTGCATAGTTTTAAAATTGTATAAATAAGTTTTAAAATTGAGTGCAAGACTTTCTTCGTTTGGTTGAAAAACTTCCCGAGTTCTCGCAAAGTAAGCAAAATGTGAGATTAATTTTCATTAATGGAAAAACATTTTTATCATTTCACAAACATTAATATTTTTTATCATTAACTAGCATGACCAATATAACTTTTACCTTAGATTTTTGTTTTATTTGTTCAAGGGCAGACTAAATTTTATTTAATTGCATTAAAACTAATTTATTTAATTGCATTTTTACCTGACTTAATATTGTATAGTGTATCTACACTGGCTTGTGCTTTATTGGTAAGAAATTAATTTTAAAAAAAATGACAGTTGCTCAAAAAATATTAGAAAATGTCCTCAACGGTAAATTTAGTTATTAGAAAAGGTATCAGACTTACCAACACCTTCAGCTTTATGCTTTAGATTTTCGTGCTTGCAGAATTCTTGTTCTTATAAGATTTTGACCATCACATACACTATATGAATAATTAAGAGATACATATAAAATGTTGGAAAAGCAAGCAATATTATCTTTAGGTGATAGCGAAAGTTTCACAACATTTGCTTACTTAATTATTAATTAACTACCACTTTAATACTTCGGAGAGCTAGAATTTCTGGGTTGGCAGTTCTGAACAGTGTTGCCTTATTTTAGAAAATATTTTTTTAAAATCAAAAATAATTAAGATAATTAAAGTTGTTTTACTTAAAAATAACAATAGGTCAGAAAAAATAAGAAAAAACACAACTTTTAAAACGTTGCAAAATTGAATTTGCATTTTAAAAACATTGAGAAACAACCAAAAACATAGTTCGATAATCAATATTATAAATGTTAGTTAAAATTTGTGTACATGATAAATTTTCAATTATGTGCACATGGCCTTTTTAAATCACAAATTTGTTTTTATGGCATTTCTTGCTAAGTGTTTACAAGGTTCTAAGAATTTTGTGCTAACTCACAACCTTAGGTTTAAACAGATTTCACCAACATTTTAGATTTGCCATTTTCTGTGCTATTTAAATTATCCCAGTGTACTTTATCAACCTGGACGATTATAAATCTTTTGTAGCTTTTGTTGGAACTTTGACTGTTTCCATTTTTGTATCAAAATCTGCAATATGTGATAGTTTTATGAAGTTAGTATTTTCTTACTTTTTTTTCTTTCTTAATTTGCAGGAAGATCAACTTGGTATATCCCTTTTAACTCTTGAACAGCTGGAGTCTGAAGAAACAAAAAGAAAAATTGAATCAAGAGTACAATTGTTGTAAATATTGTATATTATTATTTTATATGTATTAAAGTTTTTATTTTAATAATTGCAGTTGATCAAAATATCTCAACATTTTTTGAGTTATAATAGGAGACAATAATGTAGTCTCTATTCCAGGAATACACAACCATTTTCGGGCAGTGAGCCATAATATCTACAAAATATAGTGTTAGAGGCCGAAATTAACATAATACTATAATTAAAAAAATGCTGAAAATAATTACATTCTGTTTGAAAGTAATATGAATGAATCACAAATGTATAACTATGAATAAAGATAATAAAAATAATGTAATAAACAGAGGACTTATATAGACTTATTAGATTACACAGCAAATTATGGTAAATTTATAAGCATGCAACAAAACTAATTACAAGGTAACTTAAGTTTACACATATCAAAGTTAACTTCCACTATTATTCAGGGAAACCTAATTTGTTTTGGATTTGTACAGTATCAAATTAATGCGATGCCTGTGAAAAATATTTATTTTACTGTAACTATTTTGAAATTACAATTCAATTTTATTTATCCTATCAATTTATGAAATGTTTTATTAATTTCTTTTAGTTTATTTGTAAAAACTTCATACGTATTTACATTTCACTACAAACTCCAAACCTATTGCATAAATAGACCTTTCATAATGAAACAGTCACATTCTGATACTTGAAGACTGTAAACTAGACTGGTGTAAGTAATTAAGAGAATTTGCAGACCTGGTCGATTATCTCTACAACTATTGGACCGATTTTAATGAAATTTGATTGTTGTTATAAGGATTTGGAAATAATTTTAAACAACTGGAATGTGTTGCAAACATCACGGAGGAGGTCCATGTACGACTCCTGCAAAAGATAGGCATACAGTGCTATTGACAAAAAGGAACTGTCACAGTACAGCCAGTTAGGTAGCAAATAAATTTCATGCTGTTACTGGCAAACGAATCTACCGAAAAACTAGCCAGACGATTGCATGCAGGAGGACAATAAGCTCGTCGACCAGTTGTGTGCTTACCATTCTCCAGATGTCACCGTAACGCCCGTTTGCAATGCTGTCTTCAGAGTCGCAGTTGGAGCGAAGAGGACTGGGCTTGCGTACTATTCTCAGATGAGAGAAGATTAAGTCTCTCGTCTATAAGTCTATCGGTATAGTTTCTTAAAATGATTTGAAAAATTTTGATCTCTTCAAGAGGAAATAGAAATACGAAATTCTCGTTCTTAACTGCTCCAAAAGCGCAACTATCCGAAATCAATTAAAATTTTCACGGCAAACTGCTCCACAAAATTTTAAAATTCATGACAAATTTAAGTACATTAGCTACTTTGTTTCCAATGATTGAATTTTCCACTAATACATTAAATTCTTCAAAATTCAATTCTAATTGCTACTTTAAAAGTCTGATTACAGTTGCATGTGGAGTATAAATACAGCTTCAAAAGGAAACAGAAATGCGAAATTCTCGTTCTTAACTGCTCCAAAAGAGCAATTATCCGAAATCCATGAAATTTTTCAATACAGAATGCTCTAAAAAATTACAAATTAATGACAAATTTAAGTACATTAGCTTCTTTGTATCAAATGGTTCAATTTTCTACAAATACATTACATTCTTCAAAATTCAAATCTAATTGCTACTTTGAAAAGAAGCCGAATCTCCAACAGTGCACTATCCTGCATAAGATTCTAATCTCTCACTCCATTTCGCGCTTAATTAATACCACGTGACCTTTCTAATTAGTGGTTGTGATCAAGTAGAGAAGGACTTAGGTGATGGAAGAGTTTCAGTTTTTCTGATCTTTTGAGTTCTCGACTTTTCCCCTGACTTAGCAGGATGAAGCGTTCGTAAATTGGAGATAATGGATCTATTTTTAAAGGGATAATGAATTTTGGAAAGAGGGCACGAGCCGATGCGACGTACGTGAACCGAGTCTGATGAGCTTAGAATTGTTTATGAGCTGAGCGTCTGGCTCAATTAAATCAAAAGCCTCTCCCAGAAATGGGACTCGATTAAAATCTGAGTTCAATGTTCCTACCAATGGATTAATTTCCTTCCGTTTTCGAGGTATAATTAAACAGATAGCATCGGAAATTTTGAAGTAGTATCTAGAATCTAATAATATTTTAGTGGTTTCAATATGGATTCTGGTTCATTGGTTTATGAAAATAGATTGATAGTTTCGATAATTGAGTTTGGTAACAAAGTTGCATTTTATTGATACCAGATTTTATTTCTTTACTTTTATGAATTTTTGGATTGGATTTAGATTTCTTTAACGTCATACTAAAATTAAACTACCGAACTATTGGGACTTCTAAGACTTATCATATGAAAAAAAAAAATCAATAAAAGGATTTAAAGATAGTACTGATGCAAATATATTTACCCAACTACAATTCGAATAGTTTAGCTTCTGGATTGGTTTTTTATTTTTCCAAAAAGATAAATACTGGTAGGAAACATTTCATTATTCGATTTTACCTTGAAGGTACAAAATTTACTTTTCCGTCGAATATATGAGTAATAAAAACATCTAATGTAGATCTGTAATTATGGAATGTGATTTTTTTTACATTTCACCGATGGACATAAAAATTTCTTCTTAATTAAACATAAATGTGCTAACACTATTTTCATAATTAGCCCTTTTCTCATCAAATAAAAGTTGGGTTTAAATAGTGATAAGATATTACCAATGTCTATAGCTAACGTCAGATTTAATATAATGCCTGAGAGGCCACCAAATTTCTAAGGTCCACTTAAATTTTGAAAACGATGTTCCTATCGTTTTTACTGATGAATTCTGAATTAACGAAAGTTGAAATAAATATTAATTTTAATTCCCTCAATATTATAATGTTAGGTTATAAATCGTTCGAAATCATTTTGTACACAAATATGACCTAAATTAGTTTCTATATGACCATCAATTGGATCCGTAAGTAGTTTCCAATTCTTTCCGGCTGTGGAACCCTAAATGATCAAAAGTTTTAAGGCGGAACCCTTACTTTATAAATTAAGTATACAAAGACAATTGTGAATGTATTAACGAATAAAATACTACTTTTTTTTGAAAATATTTAATAAAATAAGTACCGCGATGGCTCAGGGGATAGAGTGTTCCCTTCCAATGAGGTGAACCGGGTTCGAATCCCTGCGATGACTGGCCGATGCGAATCCGCATCCGGCTTGTCCCGACCACAGTGCTGACATGAAATATCCTCAGTAGTAGACGGATCATGGGTTAGAGTCCCTTTACCTTGAGGCATACCGTGGGGCGTTCTCGTGGTCTTCCTCTCCATGTAACGCAAAAGCGGGTTAGTTCCTTCAAAAAGTCTTCCACGAAGGGAAATTTCTCCCAACATTTGATCCAGGAGTTACCTTGTCTTCTGGATTGGGTTCAAAATTACAAGGCTACGGAGTTGAACATTAGTAGTTGTAAACCCAAAATTGGGTCGGCTGTTCAATTCAACGACGGTTATAAAATAAAGTTTATATACGTCTTATGCATTCGATAGCATCGAAAATATTGCTTTCAACTGGTAAGTTATTTATTTTTATGCAAAAATAAGGGATTTTCTCAATTTTTTTTTTTTAATGTTAATAAAAATAGAGGAACCATTTACAAATTATCATAGACATAAATGTACAGAAAAATAAGAAGTTATTAAAATATTCATAAATTTGTATTTTTTTTCATAGTTTACTAAAGCTTTCGGTAGTCGGAAGAAAAATTCGTAGAAGTTAGTATCTTTGAAAGTCCCCATAATAAGGAATTATTTGAAAGAAATTTTCGAACTTGGACTGATAATGAAATGTTCATATGCTTTCTTTTACTTTGAAAATACGTTTTAGTAAATACGTTTTAGTAAATTAGGGAGCAAAATACGTTTTAGTAAATTAGGGAGCTTCGGAGATCATCTTACATATGAGGCAAACAAAAGCATTCCAATCGAATCAGTTAAGAAGAATCTTTATTGAAAGCTTTCAAACACAAGAATTAATGGCAACACCTAAATTTTATTACCTCGTTCCCTAATCACAGCAATGTATTAAGTTAAATGTGCAAACTTTTTTCACGCAGAACTTACATGCACAAACCTATTTTCTTATCGATTTTGTTAAGTAAAAATTTTTTCAAGCGAATGTAGATACTATTGGGCAAAATTAATGCGCAACAGGGTGACGATATATAACAAATGTTGTTTAAAAAAATGTCTACCAATGGCCATTTTTTTTCGTAAAAAATGCACCCGAAATGCAAATGCTTTATATTAATATCACTTTTAGTAAAAATGGAATTAATAAGAATATATTACAATCAGTGCCGGATTAACCTATAGGCACACTAGGCACGTGCCTAGGGCCTACGAAATTCAGGGGTGTAAGAGTTTAATAATAAGAATATTTATTTGGTGCGTAAAAAGGTAAAGTTATTTGTGTATTGTAATTGATAGAATGAAATATTTGGTATATGTACTAGTAATTGGATATAGTCATGATTAAAAAAAGTTAAATGAATGAAATGTCATGATAAAACAAATTAAGGCCGAAATATATAAAAGGGGGGAATGTGATCGTTAAGGAAAGTGGTAGTACAATGCTAATATGGGATAACAATAACCCAATAGGTCCAAAGGGTCACAAAGTGTGAGGTTTGAACAAATTGGATATATTGGTATCACCGAATTTAGAATAAGGGTGAAACTAAAAATAATTAAAGATAAAAAGATAAAGAAACAAAGTCATGCTATATCCAGATAAAAGTATTTAAGATAAATGGGGTAAATTGATGCTTCCAATAAAATTACAAGTTCCCTTAACAATAAAAAAGGTACTCACCACGCACATATAGGAGGACATGATAAATCATGAAAATAGAAGCAAATAAATTCTCCAGCACAAGATTAAATTATTAACATATCATTTTATTTAGAACATACATCTTTCACCATATCTACCAACACAAGAAAGGCATTTTATTGAAGTGGGTGACGGGAGAATTAAAACACAGAAGGAGTTATAGATAAATGTTAATTATAAA